TCCGTCTATGATATCAGGCACGAGAGCGGCCAGAGTAAAAGTCATATTTACTCTGCCTAAGACTGTCTCCGCCTCAAACGGACGCAGCCCTGCGCCGGCCTGGTGGCCCGAAGGTCCTCTCGCATATGTCGAGTGGTACACTCGATTTTCGGGGGCTGCAGACGCAACACACCTCATGTACTCGGTGAGCAAACCGCCGTCAACGGCCGACGGGCTTCCACCAGGAAAGATCGTACCATTCTCGCAAATCAGACAGTCTTGCCAACTCATCCTTCGTTTCCGGACGGCACAGTTCCAGCGGACTGGACAACGGAAAATACATTGGATAAAGCAAGCAAGATGTACGTGAATAACTGGGCCGGACTCTACGCGTATCAAACCATCTGGTAGTGGTGAGTGTCTCCTATTTCTACCAGCAATCCACGGTCCTACGTGGTCTCAACGCACAGTACGCAATACCCGGGTTTGCGGCGCTAACGGTGACGCCGTTCGCGTTCCGTAGGCGCTTATCGGACGACCTTCTCCCAAGCCGTCTCCAGACGCTCCCAAGTCTCACAAGCACTCCCAACTCACTGCGTCTTGCAAACGCGTACTCTCCCCCTCTCATCTGCTCGCAACACCTCGCAATGGCACCCGTCGATCCGCGAGTCAAGGCCATACTCGCGCGGCACTTCCAGCATTCCGCGACGTCTGTGCGGTAACGGAGCCGTGCCCCTGCAGCAGGCGGTGAACCACATCACCGTGGTCGGACTGGACGGGCGTAACACAGGCGTCCTGTACAACTACGTACGTACTTCGCTCACTTTGAATTGTCACCGCTAATTGGGCAATCCAGTGCCCTGTTGACGAAGGAACAAACGCCTGCTTCACCACGATCAGCACGATCCAAGCCGATCCGCAACGCGTAATCGCTGGCCAACGGCACATCAGAGCCCTGAACCCGCCGGCGTTGCAAGATCGCTGGTTACTCATGGGCGGTGACCGCGAATGGAGCGACTTTTGGGTGCCGGAGTGTCTGGAGAGGAGTGAGGCAACTGCCGTGGTGGAGGCGGTTGTGTTTTACAAGGTGCGTAACCCGCTGTATCTCTATCTACTACCCCACAAACCGTCCTATAGGACGGTGTAGATCCGCTGCTTCTTCCTCTCCTGTGTCGCGTCCATGACACGGAGATCGAAGTGCCGATCGTGCAGCCGATCACCCAGCAGGCCCTGCCCGACCTCAACTACTGGCAGAACCCGTTGGGCGTCGTGTTCTACGACGTTTACGACGTGAGTCAGCAAAGTTTTGTGCCGCCTCACCTTGCCCGCCATCCCGTTCGCTATCCCCTACCCCTCCGTCAATACCCCGTCTTCAAGGATGCGCGCGTCACGCTTGCGGCGCGCGCGGAAGACTACGCACTGGGTCGCATCGCGCTGCCACCCATGTGCTCGATGAAGGCCGAGCTCTACGACGCGCCGTTCATCTTGCCGACCGGGCTTCCACAGCGTCGCTGCCGGATCGACGCGAGGTGGCGAAGTACGGACCTCGGATTTCCCTGGGGTCGGATTCTTGAACGGCCGCAGATCGGGCAGCCCGGCTGCGCCGTGATTCTGGCGGGCACTGGCGGGCGGAACGGTATGATATAGTACAGTAGACAGAGTTTTTTTTTGTTGTCTAAGACGATGTACAACTACGGCAAAGAATGTGTTCTATACAAATGCTTGTGTCTTTCAGTGTGGCTGAGTTCGGGGACGGGCGTCACCCAGCGCTTGAGACTTAGCGCCAGCGGTCGTTTGTCTCTCAAGACTCTCAACCTCTATCCTACTCTCAACACGCTCTACCACGTCTCTCTGCTTTCTTCGCCATGTCTCGACCCGATCCTCGCGTTCTTCAACTACTCGCGCCTCGCCTACCGTCGTTCGGAGCTGCTGCTCACCACTCGCGGCAATGCGTGGTGGGACCGGAGATCGCACACGTTACGGTCGTGTGTCTGGAGAGGACGAACTTCGGGCGATTGTTCGATTATGTGCGTGGTCTGTTCTCTTGTGCGCGCGTCGACTAACTGGCCATGTTGCCACATTCAACTAGTGCGCTACGTTCGACCCGTCTACGTGCACCACTCGCCTCAGTAACGTCCAGGGAAATCGGGCGGAGATCAAGCTTGCGCTCAAGGAAATCCTCGCGCTGAGCCCGCCCGCCAAACTAGGAGGGTGGGTCCTGCTGGGGTCGATGATCGAGACCCACCTGGGTGCTCTGATTCCCCCGTGTCTGCGTGCGCCGGGTCGGAAGGTGGTGGTGGACACCGTTATTTTTGCCAAGGTGAGTAAATGTTACGCCCATCTGGCGGCTCTGTATCTCGGGGACTTACCGCGCCCTAGGACTCGCACGACCCGGTGTCGCTCCCGCTTATCTGGGAGGAGCTGGGCAATGAGATCGAGCTGTCGTTCAACCAGCCGCTGACTGTACAGTTTTTCCGCGGGCTAAACGAATGGAAGGGCGTTGCGCAAGGGGGCCGCACCACTTTCGACTTTTACAATGTGTACTCGAACACGTTCATCCCTACCGCTGTGAACGGCACGCAAATTCCGTTCCGCCTTCCCTTCCCCCTCCCACACATCCCCGTCTTCAAGGAGTCGTCAGTGACGGTGGCTCGCCATGCGGAACGGTACAGCTTCGGTACCCAACGCATCTACCCCTTCGACTCCATGAAGATGACCTTCATGCCGGTGGATTTCGACATCGTCTGGCCCGTGGACGTCCCGCAAGGCAGCGAGTATCTGCATGCCGAATGGCGTGTTGAGTGTTGGGGCGCCCCTGAAGGCATAGTGGCCATACGGCCTCTCATCGGCGATGACGGCTGCGAGGTGAGACGGGTCGGTGGTCCCGTTCCCGAGGAGGTGGTTGCGGGGCGAGATGTCGGAGAGATCAATGCGCCGGCGACGGAGGACGATTCCGAGGTGGAAATATGGGAGATTACTGAGGATGGTAATATTCCCATTGTTCCTGAGGTTTGGGAAGTCGTGCGGGGCACCGGTGAGGAAATACCGTACTATGTGTAGTACATTTGACGTATGATACATGCCTTGGTTCTGTTTTGTAATTTTACTCCGAGTCCTACATGTAAAATTTGAATGCGATGTTGTATGGGAATTACCCTGGCAGTCATAGTGGGAAAATAATTGTGTTGTGGGGCCTTGACCCAGGATGCGCTCGAGACTTCGAATTGCACTGAACAATTGGAACTTCTCTCAAGTGATAAATTGGTCGGTCTGACGGGTTGCTACCTTACCAACGGTGCTCAGGAGCGCTTTTGCGCGTGTGATATTGGTCAAACTGCTTGCAAGTGCTCTGCGACTTCTTTTCCGTTGCAGGCGCTACTTTTGCAAAAGCTCAACCGCTTGCGGACACAAGGGGTTTTTCCTGATGTATCGAACACCGTGTCCCGCAGCTGCTATCGCCACGTGAGACGCACGATTCACCCGTTTCGAGGTGTAGGTCAACCTCTGCTCCGCTCGTCCATCTCAGTGCTCTGCAGGTCTCGTTTGGAGCTCTTGGGCTTCTATGGGGGACGAGGGGGCGTAGGATCTGTGTATGCACTACCACTAGTTGGTACGTTTTCATCCGCACGTCGGGCCCGTCTCCGTGTTCTCTCTCTGACCATCACTTCCTAGTACTGGATGACGACAACCCCTCGCTCTGCCAACTGGCAACGATCTGCGTTCTCCCCCCAGCTTGCCGAGCGCGCGCATCACCCGACAGGACTCTCCCTTCAGCGCGTCATTAGGGACGTTCAGAGTTCGCTGTCCGGGCAGCTATCCCGCCAGCTATCCCGTCCAGATTTCCGAGGCTCGACGCCGGCAAACGCCGACAGCGAGCCCAGCTGTGATCGCGCTCGGGACAGCAGAGGGCTCGATATCGGCGCGGGCGCTCGGCAACCCGTCGGAACCTAAAAACAAGTGGCTCACCGAGGAAGCCCTAACCCTACCTTACTAGAACGCCTGGTCAGAGATCCAGGTGAGGCGATCTCGGCGAGCGGTGGCCCACATAATAAGCCAATTGAGCGAACAAACCTGTTTCTTGTAGATATGTTTGTGATGGTCGAATAAGCTATGGAACATTGTGTGCGAGTCAAATCGTATTCTTTGTTCGGGGAGTGAACGCGGGCGGCTAAGCGATGTACCACGCATGTTACGAATACCAAATACGGAATTACTGATCACATAACGTCACAGGTGAGTGACCATGCTTTATTCTGCGCACTTGGTATCGATATGTGCTGAGTCAACAGCTGCTATATAGAATATGAGCTATGGTAGTCTCTGTAATAAAAACGGAGTAGTACTCAGCTAGCGGGGCAACTGTCACACTGGTTACGTTAGCCACACACTCACCGAATTTAGTAGTTGTCACACGGTGATTTACTGGTTGACGAAGACAGTCTACAGATAGCTTATATGAGCCGAATGTCCGAAATCTTATGGTTAAGTAGGATGGTGCCCTTTCGAGCAAGTGTCTACCAGCAAATTTCAGGACAGCTATATTCTTGCATGGCTTGTTAAATTTCTAGTAAGGTATGTAGAGCCCGAGTTACAAGGGTCAGGGCTTCCTCGGTGAGCCACTATGTTTTCAGATTCCGACGGGTTGCCGAGCGCGCGTGCCGACAGTGAGCCCACAGCTGGGCTCGCTGTCGGCGTTTGCCGGCGTCGAGCCTCGGAAATCTGGACGGGATAGCTGGCGGGATAGCTGCCCGGACAGCGAACTCTGAACGTCCCTAATGGAAACATACGGTCCCAAACGTGAAAGACACAATGCGTACCCAACCAGCAAGGTCCACACGTTGAACGACTCGATGGATTACATCAGCCAAAAGAAACATGCAGAGCTCACTACGTATCATGAGCATGAGCAGGAGCGAGATGCTGTCCTGCTTGGTAGATCACAGTAAGGCGGGCCAGGCCTAAATCGCCGGAAGCGGTTCAGAACAAGGCTACGGCCAATAGGTCGATGACGCACCGTGGACAGACCAACCATCTACTCTCACAGACAGTGCACCAGCACAACTTCGTGTAGCGAATTCTACGAGCCCGGCCGTTTCAGTCGAGGTTGCGGTAATTTGAGAGACAGCGAACCAGAGCGGAGAGTAGTGAAAAGGGAGTCTGTGCCCAAAGCGGTCAGTATCTCGTAGAAAGGGCCATAGAGCGAACAGGAGCGAACCTGAAGCGGCTGCAACTTCCAAGGCCTGAGGCCTGAGGATTCGCAAGTGTCGACGAGAGCACGTTTGAAACTCTTCCTGAATCTTGCGATCGGACCGGATCCACACCTTCCAGTACCAGTTCTCGACGGTATGTACGTTCACTGGAAGGCTCTGACGTGCGTTGCCCTTGGACGCAAGGCGGGAAATCGCAGGGTTGCCGTCGAGTCAGACGAGGATGCGAGAAGATTGCTATTCGCGTCATCCAGGCCCCAAGACAGTCTGAGATTCGGAAGCTGCGCGAGTTGCATGCGTAGAGACAGACGACGGGAGACCATGTTTGGGAGGTTGCGGGATCAAGCAGCTTCAACTTAACTTCAAGCTCACGATCGAGGATGAGAGGCAAAAAAGCTACTCACGTAGACTCGATCACGTGGTCTGGACGCGTACCAAGTAGCTTACATAATAGCCTTTAGCTGGAGCGCGTACTGTAGAACGTTGAAATCCTTTTCTTTACTTTGTTCTCTCTTCATTTTCCAAGACAAATGTCCACAGACGTCTGCCAGGTTTTGTGGCGGGGAATGGGCTCACAAACCAGTGCTTGCTATGTCAGCTGTCCTACTCTTGGTCTGTCCAGTTGCGGATCTCACGCCGTGCCAGTGGGCAGTGCACTCGAACCTTGATAGCGTGCTGCTTCACCGGTACGTGCACCACGGTACCTGCTCCCGCCCTCTGAGTCGCTAGTCTTCCGCATCTTGTGAGGTTCGTCTCACTCAAAGTATTTACTATGGATACAGAGTTAATCTCAAGTAGGTGATGTCGGACGTCGGTCATCATGGCTGGGCCCTTCGCAGCCACCGGAATTCCCGTGTGGTGCACAGGTTAGGTGGACTCTTAGGGACCGGCTCGTTGCTCGGTATCCGCCCATCAAAGAAGCAGGCTACAACGACTGTGCACAATTTGAAGACGCTGGGACCTGCACCGCTGACTCCAGAGGTCCGTGTCACTCGAAGCCTCGCTTGAATACCGTGACAGAGTGTGTATGCTGACCTGCATTTTAAAGTTGCTCTCAGAGGTCGCTTGCACCCACTCCGATGTCGATTTGTCCCGCAACAGTCGCTCGACTGTCGCTGACATTTCTCAGACTTATATTCTAGATTCGTCCACGCCTCAACATCTGTGCGGTGGAACTGTGCCTGACGCGGCCGATGCAGACAATTCCGCCGAATTCCCTCTACGTTACCTCTTGCCGCCACTACCCATCGAAGTCTATGATCGCATTCCTCCCGAGATCTTCGAAGTCATCATCGATTTCATGGCCAGGCCCATGCTTCTAGACATAGCGCTGGTCAGTCGAACCTGGTATCCTCGCGCGATGTCCAATTTCTATCACACGGTCTATATCGGCGATCGGACAGCCTTTGACTTGCTGGTGAAGCAATCACGCGTCTCGCTCCGCGTCAAGCATTGGCTCGCGACAACGCACACGGTAGTCGTCCAGCGCAAGTCCTTTCCTCTCACGAAACCGGGCCAGGATCATCTTCCATTCATGGATTCCCTGCCTCTCGTCTTTGCCGACTCGTTGCCTGCTCTGCGAGTGCTCAAGATCCATCGGGCTCTGCGTCCCGTCATGCACTCCACATTCTATCTTGCTCTGCGTCTTCACAAGCAACTCGTGTCCTTGCATTTGGTGGATGTCCAGCTGTCCAACGTCGCTCAGCTACAGCGGATCATCCGTGCGTTCCCGCGCTTGGAAGAGCTTGTCTTATCTGGTGTATCCTTCATACAAGCGCACTCTGTGGATGTTACATCCCAGCCTCTCGCCGCCACGCTAGCCACCACCCGGCTCAAACGCCTTGTTCTCGTATGCGACCCGGGGATCAAGCCATTGGCACTGAGATCCATGGTCGACTGGTTTACATGTCCGGCACTCTGCGCGTCCCTTCGTGACTTGAGCGTGCAATTCCGAAACCTCACGCATGACGACTGCGGATTCACGTCCGGCCTCATCGATCGCATGCTGGAAGGGAGTGGACCGTCGCTCACTTCCTTTAGTCAGACTCACGACAAGGCTCCCGGTCAGGAATGTCCCGCTTCTCCGCACGAACGACCGCTGAGTTCAGCCCGTTTCACAGATCTTCTACGTCCGTGTTTCGTGCACAATACCGCTTTGCGTCATCTGGAGCTGTCAGTGAACGTCTACTTCACTGGCCCTTGGAGTAATCTGTCCGAACGTACGTGGCTAGATCCAGCAGACGAACTGCGCGTCGCCCTTTCTACGGTCCGAAGCACCCAGATGGAGTCCATCACGATTCGCCTCAACATCACGCTCTACGGCTGTCCGGAAACGGCCGAGGAGCTGGACATACCCTCCAAGCAGCTCGACTCGACGTCGCGCAGTCTGCATAGCGCCATGATCCGGCCGTACTTCGACATGCTGAAGGGCGTCGACGTCGAGATGCTGGTTCAATACGTGCTCCCTTGGAACCGTAGGAAGAGTATGGAGAAGCCGGCGCGCTCCGCCGCCGAAGCGGTCTGTTCCACGTTCGGCCAGCTGTTCGCGCCCTGGAGCGATCGCGGTATAGTCAATATCACGAAGGATCTGAAAAGGCGTCGGTAGCGTTGGCGTACTAGTGAACATACTTCAGGTGCGTATATCCTGTAGTATCACTCCCTGCAGGACACCGACCGACTCTTTGAACTGTAGCGATAGGCGGGACTCGCGGCGTCTGCTAACATTTATACCGATGGGTGCATTCATGGACTCTGCAGACTGGCCTTGTATCCACTGTTTCCTCGCGAACTAGGCTTCGGTATCTCAACTTGTTCCGTCCATCTACTTTGCTGCTAAGGTGAATTCCAAGATCCGTGCATATTTACTGTTCATTCGAGCTCACATGCCGTAGTAGATGGGTCTCATCCGAGTAAAGTTGATAGCGAGGAAATCGATGGTGGTACACACTATATTGTCTACATAGTTTATCTACGGAGCTATGGCCAGCTCCCGATTGTCGTCAGCCCACCCCAAGTCGTGTATGAGATGTCGACCAAACCGCGCTTGTGCCACGGCCTAAGGAATTGACAGAACACGGGAACGGTCGCTCGCGCGATGTCGTCCGCCCAATCCGCACTACGTCTCCTATCGTGCCAGATCTTCACCTTGACACCGACGTCCTTCAGCCCATCGAAGTACGGCGTAACCATGACGTCGTGCATACTGCGCAGGTCGGCCTCGAGTTCCCCGCATGATGGGATGCAGTCCTCCCTGTCTGCTGGCAAGCGGCCGAGCGTAAAGTAGATCATGGTGTCAATAGTGATGTGCTCGATCTGGGAACTCCGGACCGTGGAGAGGGTAGCGTGCAGCTCGGTCGCCACCGCTCGCCAGTTAGCGTCTGGCCTGTTGAGATGGATGTTCAGGTCGAGTTTCAAGGTACGCAGGGCTGTGTTGTGGATGAGGCTGAATCTGGCCGGGGGATAACCTGTGGATTGTCATAGTGTTAGCGATTGCCCGCGAGAGCTCGAAAGAGCTCTGACCATGCCAAAAGTCATATATCCGATGGAAGGAGGTCAAGGATGTCCCGCTTGCCCCGAGGAGTCGATCGACTTGCTCGCATGCAAGTTTGAGATAGGGATCATCTTTACACAAGAACCGTACAACCAAATTGCGGAGAGAGACACACAGTGCCGAAGTGACAAGCCAGTTGGCTTGGCTGATGAAGGAGTCCGAGCCAGCATTTGGATGAGCAGAGATTGTAAGGACCTTGAGCCGTGTATTGGACTGAGGCCGAAGCGGGGTGTCTGTCCAATAGGGGGGTCGAGAACTGACGTAACGTGGTTGCCTGAAGGTCACCCGGTCCAATGCCAGGTCTTCGAGGTGCGGAAACGCGCAGACGATCCGCCGTAGCTGCGCAACATTCCCCAGCACAGCATCATCCAAGCGCAGCGACATGATGTGGGTGAAGCAACGGAGGGCATGGTAGAACGTCGGGTGCATGTTATAACACAGCATACGACGGATGTCGAGTACTCGGAGAGCAGGTAATGTGTGGGCGAAGACGAGAGGCAGGGAATTGAGGAAGGTGATCCCTTCTCGCTTTGAGTTGTAGGAACAAAGGACTATGAGATCGCGGGTCGTCGTAAGCCATTGCTTGACGCGAGGCGACGTGCGAGACTGCTCGACCAGCAGGTCGTACTGCGTGCGCGACTTGATCACGACTGTGGAATAGAGGCGGCGACTGGCTCGGGAATGCCAGGCACGACAAACCAACACGGCATCCAGCAAGGTAGATATGGGCATATAGTCAACGATGTCTTCAAACACCTCGAGAGGAATGCGATCTGAAAGGTGCAACGGCAAGGACTTCGACATCCTCGTCTTGATTCCATTTATCGCTCTCTTCATAATCTGCCAAGTACTTTTCTTCCCGTCCATTGACTTCTTCAACCAGTTCGTCTTCGCTGTTTCGTAAGCGTGGCCTGCATCCAATACACGGGCGGTAATGAATGAATGAGCCCCAGGTATGAGTCTGGACGACGCGTCGGCAATGCCTGCTCCATGACTGAGAGACGAACCAACAGGAAGGGTGATTTCCTGTCTCATCTGTCCCGTCCCAATGTAGTCAGTAAACGGTGACCAGTGGACTCTTCAGCAAATCATACGCACGAGGGAGTCTGCAAGAGAAGGGGGGAGCTTCTGTAGGCAGCGCTCAGTCAAATGTTTCCCTTACCGTAACCTTGCACTGCTTACTGTTGTCTGTCACCAGTCCGACGATATGAGAGCCACAATCCTTTATTGCACATAAGCTCAAAGACGTCTCCCCATGTGGTCCTGGGAGCTGAACGCCCAAGAATAACCTGTTCTGCGAGTTTGAGTGGCGAGCATACAATGATAACACCACGGCACTGGTTTTCGACTGACGTGATGACTTACACTAAATTCTGTTCGGATCAGCCGTTCACACGCACATGTACGTTCATATCACCTTCCTGAAGCGCATCGGAATAGCCATATGGCTGGACTACGACATCGTGCCTCTTGTGTGGGAATATCCAAAGAGTCAGTGCCTTAAATTCATTCCGCCTTGCCATGCAGGATCGTGAGACGATGAAATCGACCCTATTGTGCTCGGAGGTTGGATGAGTTGCTTCGAAGGCAAAGCCCATGCACGAAAATTGACCAGCTCACCATGGTGACCATATTGCAACGCTGCGCGAAGCCCACATTCAGGACTGACTGCCTACAGGCTACAATACATCTGGGATCACTATGACGGGGATAGCCTGATGAATATGTCGCGCTGTCAACCGTTGATCATCTCAAGCTCCGAGCTTACGGCATGCGGAAATCTCTCACCCTTGTAGGGATGGCAAGTACTTCGTGGAGGTGCGTCGGATACTGGATGGCCTCCAGCATCTGCACGAACGGGTTGTCTATAGAAGACGGCCCTCATGCGTGACTGACAAATCACACATCCTACAAGACAATGTGCGTACCAGTTCCACCAGGAAAGTCAGGTTGAGATCGGTGCACGAAAACGACATCGACGTGGACCACGAGCAGAGGCGCGACGATGCCACGCTAGAGGCCGAAGCGTCCAGTTTGAAGACACAAAGATCTGGGATTACACCTGCATCAAGGGATTGTAAGCTACGTGAAGGAACTATCATGATCACTGCGGACAAACCGCGTTGTGCGAAGCGCTCACATGGTACTACTTACATTGTAAGGGCGTGTATATTTTTACGGCTCTAAGTCGGAGCTCCTAACATAGGGAATGGGATCCCTTTGTTCGGCCTAACATTTTGAATGTTCCTAGAATCGGGAATGTAAGTGTTATGTTCTTCCTATGTTCCGAAATCGTGCCATGTTCTAGGAATGTACTTCCCATGTTAGGGAAGTTCACTTGATGGCTTACTAATATACACGCCCTTGCAATGTTAGGCCTATGTAAGCGCCTCGCACAATCCGGGTTGTCCGCAGTGTATGCGTCTACACTCACATCTAGCACCGGCATCCTCCATGTTTGGTGTCATAAGTCATTCGGGTCTGCCCGCGGCCGTGGCCCTATCAGCATAAGCTCGACACTGGGACCCACCGTCTTTCCCGGGTGCAGTATACCGGGAAAGCCAAGGTACTCCGTTCAAGTTCACCCAGAGCCTGCGTAACGTTGTTGACGTCGCTCTGAAGCAAGCAGTCCACGGTGGTGCTCGCGCGAGGCTCGCGACCGTCAGACTTCAGTAGGTGACGGTCATGTGATCGCACCCTTTCATGTCAACCGCGATGCACAAGCGATGCACTTGCTAATACGACGGTATCCGGTCCCCGGAGCCAGGAGAGGTTGATTGAACTGTCTACTCTGCCCACAACTTCGTTGTCGTGGATGTGACGTTGACATTGACTACACCGCGATCGTGCCATGGCGCAAACAATCGCCGTAATATGGGCTCCATCGCACTGACGAAGCGGTCCATCTCCTCTTTCCTATCATCCTCAGAGTCAACCCAACACTCGACTTCTATCTCAATCTTGGCCTCCGCCAATACGTGAAAGTACGGCCGCACCATGACGTCGTGCAGACCGCGCGAGTCTGAGTCCAGCTGCTTGCAGCTTTGGCGGAAGTTCTCCTCGTTCACGGGGCTGGGTAACACGAACCTGAAGTGGGCTGTGATGTGCTCGAGCTGGTAGCTCCGCACCGTGGAAAAGACCCCACGAAGCTCGTTTGCCGCGTCTGCCCATTCCGAGACCTCCGTGGGCTGGTAGGGGTCGACATTCAGCCTTACCGTCAACTGACGTAAGGCCGTGTTATGTACTAGGTTGCAAGGGGAGTGATCTGGTGGATGACCAAGGCTTAGCGACGTCCAACACAACATACGGAACCGAAAGACTACTCACGAAGGAGATTGAGGTCGCTGTGACAGTAGAAAGAGGTCAGAGACTGCCCCATCGTCTCGAGGAGCCGATTGACATGCTCAATGGCAAGCTCTGTGTGCGTGCCATAGAAGGCCGTCACCAGTTCGGCCAGAGAGCTGCAGATCCCCGAGGATATAAGCCAATCGGCCGTCCGTCCGAACGTCTGTACGTGTTTGTCGGTGTCCGATACGACTTGGAGTCGTTTGAGCCGGATGTTGCAGGAGCCTCGGGAAGGGTCATTTTGGGGCCTACCACCAGCAGACTGTGGTAGCTGTGGGTGGAGGAGTAGCACGGCGTCCAAAGCAAGCTCCTTCAGACACGGAAACGCACAGACAATCCGTCGTAACTGGGTGCTGTTGCTCAGATCGACATGATGCAGGCGTAATGATACGAGGTGTTGGAGCTGACGCAGGGCAACATGGAAAGTCGGATGCATATTAGGGCGGAGAACGTAACCAATGTTGAGCCCTTGCAGGGCAGGGCATGCATGGCCGAAGACCAGAGGGAAGGCGTCCAGGAATGGGGTAACCGAGTCGGTCCAATGTTCCCCGAGCGCTACTTGGCGTGTGGACTGTAGCCACCGCTGGACACGGGGCGACGTGCGTAGCTGCTTCACCAACAAGTCGTAGCTCGCGCGCGAGGTGATGAGGATGGTGAGGTAGAGAAGGTAACTGGCGCGAGGATTCCATGCCTGACAAACCAATGCGGAACTGTAGAGCGTGCACTGGTCCATGTGCTCGATGACATTTTCATAGACTTCCATGGGTATGCGATTGGATAGGTCGGTGGTAAGGGACCGCTCTTCGTCGTCGACAGCGTTTGGCCTGCAGCTCGGGATCGAGCTTCCGACGAGACGATATTCGTTCCACATGATCTGTCGTACCCAGACAGCGTAAGTCCCGGACAAGCTGTCCGCACAGATGTGACTTACAAGACTCGGGGAGACAGGTAGTACCTGGGGAGCGTTCAATCGAGCGGCCTGCTGATGATGGTCAACTTGACGCCAAGGTCGTCGGACATTGGTATTCAGTGATCCGGACACTGCCGCTCAACCTGGGCTGTCGTAGCCTGGCTCAGCCCAGACTCCTTCCTCAGCCTCACCACACGTGCACCGCTCGGCCCGGGACTTCCGAACAAGGGCTCACGACTTGTGGTGAGGTAGCGAGCCCTTGTTCGGAGGTCCCGGGCCGAGCGTTCACGTGCAGTGAGGGCGGGAAGGAGTCTGCGTCCGGATGGGATCTGGCCTTACGCATTTAAGCCACCGGGATCCGGATTGGACCTCAGGGCATACCCCGGACCACATGCTGTTTCGTCCGGATGGGATCTGGCCTACCCCCCGAAGTCGGCCAAATTTCGTCCGGATGGGCATCTGGCGTCCCCACCTATTATCGGGGGTCCTCGCTGAATGTGGGTTTGATCATTGGTCCTGAAGCTTGAAGCCGCTGCTATTGTCGATGATCTGATTCTGCGTCAGAACACTTCTGTGATTCCAGGATATGTGATATGCATCATTGAGGACGACGACAGGGGCCGGGTCACAGGTCCACTATGCGGCATCGCATGCGTCGAATGCTCTAGGCTTATTCACGACTCGGACTCGTTGCTATCAGACCTCATACCGACTGAAGTCATCATTCTAACTTTGTCCCTGCGTAAGATTCTACAGGTCCGCAATGGTAAAGGGAGCGACCGAGGATGGGTCGACCTACACGAATCTACGGGTCCTTGTTATTCGTTGGATCGAAGTGTCCGGTGTCATTTCGAAATGACGTGCCTTGCGCGTGCATGCACAAGGTCTGGAGTTCTGAATCAACGTCGATGTGCGTATGCGTCTGGTCTTCTTGACTCTTATGCTTCTCATCATAATGTTCGTCAGCGAACAGGATTGGGGGCACGATTAGGCATGCACCAGACATCTATGTTGTTGTGTCATGCGGATCGTCCTCCGTCGAAGTCGCTCTCCCTGAGATGGCAAGTCCCCTTCGACTGGCATCCCCTTGCATTTGATTACACTTCCTCTCCTGGATCGATCTTCCAGTTCGAACGAGACACTTATACTCCAAGGCGCTTGGAAACAACGAGGCGATTGCGGCGCAACTAAATGAAGCCTCGCGGTTTCCTGCGGGTCAGACCTAGGCTGACAGATGTGGTTTGATGAAGTCCGGCTTGGTGCGTGCACTGCCGCGGACGAACCGCGTTGCGCGAAGCGCTCACATGGCACTTACATTGAAAGGACGTGTATATTTTTACGGCTCTAAGTTGGAGCTCCTAACATAGGGAATGGCATTCCTTTGTTCGGGCTAACATTTCGAATGTTCCCCGAATCGGGAATGTAAGTGTTATGTTCTTCCTATGTTCCGGAATCGCGTGATGTTCTAGGAATGTGCTTCCCATGTTAGGGGTTTTCACTTGGTGGCTTACTAATATACACGCTCTTGCGATGTTAGGCCCATGTAAGCGCCTCGCACAATACAGGTTGTCCGCAGTGGTGCGTCTTCTATGCCTCGTTGCGAGATATCTAAACGCCGTTCACAGGGGTGTGCAACTGACCTTAAAAATCAAACAATCAGCCGTCCTCCTCCTCCTCCCGCCTTGTTGTTCTGCGAAGACACTATGAGGGACCAACGTGTTCAAACACTCTCGACAAAGCCTAATGTCAGGCTCAACCTGAGCCTCTACGATGCCTCCCTTCTGAGGGACGAGATTGCCCTTGGCGTCGCGATCAGCGACCTTGAAGGCAACCTCGTAAACACAGACAGCGTCAACAGCATCGTAGAAGATTTGGCCTCCGTACCTCACCTCCTGGAGTTCGTCTTGTCCGGTGAGTGCGCTAGACACCGCTGTACGTAACTGCTGATTATTCACGCGTGCAATTAGCTGTTGACGACAAAGCTGCTCGCAAGCTGAGCGAGTGTATTTTTGCCTCCTTTCCTGCAGATGCGAAATCTTTCGCGACATCGCTTGCCGGTCGCCTCATTGGACGATTCTCTCTCTTGCTCGTCTTCTTGCAGTTCCCATCGCCCTCAGCCAAGCCCGAGGATATACATGACAACCATCACTCTGTCGAGCGTGCGAAACGCGTACTAGAGGTGCTCGCTGATCCCTCGTTCAACTATGCTGCCGCCGAGGACCCGGGGCTGGCCGGACGCTCGTCATCGGGCTCGGTGAAGCAGAAGGGGAGGGGGAAGAAGCACCCTCAAGCACCCTCGTCGAGCATCAAGGCTGACCTGAAACTGCTCAATGAGCTCGATATCAAGATTCCGTCGGATCGCAACGAGACTTTAGCGGTTGTAGCGAGCATCTTGGACTCTCAAAAACGCATCCTACAGGTAAGTTACAAGTTCGCCACCATGGCCCACTGCGATTGACGAGTGACTGGACACAGAGTTACTTGCAAATCATCCGGTACCCGCACTTGAAGGAGACGATCAAGGGGACGTATATCATGCGTGACGTCTCAGCAGCAACACCATCGCAACGTGTCGAAGGAAGTATTGAAATGGAGGAAACTGCCTCCGCATATCCTTTCGTTCAGCCTCTGAAAGCTGCGCTGTATTTCGACAGCGCCGAAGGTTTCGGCGATTGGACAATCTTGATTTCTACGAGTGCCCAAGCAGATCTGCGACAAATGCGGAAGAAGTCTGAAGTTCTCTTCAATATCACTTTGAAGAAGATCAAGTAAGTACTCCATCTGGGTATCAGACTGCTATGTCAGAATGGCGTTGACATTCGGAACAATAGGGAGCTATCAGAAGGATATTTCTCTTCGGACAATCATAAGAAATTGACGGTCAATGCGGATATCCCGATCTACGAAGCAAAGATGACCGACGATTCTCGTTTAGTCGTATGTATGGTGTCAAAGTAAGACGATAATAAATTACTGACGCCACGTAAACAGTACCAGATCGACTGTGTCCAAGAATTTGAGACCAGCGTGAGTCTGCTACACATGAGAACAGCCATTTGCTGACGTGTACTAGGTCGAGCGACAAGGTTTGACTGACTGCGCTTTGCCAGTGCACCGCGATTAACAACTCTCATGGCTACAGCTATCAGAATTTTCGGTATTTACACGCATGCTCAAATCGACAGGCGGCAATGGGATACGCTCGGCAACCAGCTAGGGCGACAGGGTAAAGAGTATCAGAAACGGCGAGTCAATAGCTTTTGATCCCCGACTCCTCTCGTCTGAACAATTATCTCAGATGTACTTTCCGCAATCGGCCGACGCAAGGTCGCGGGCACGCTCGTGCCACCCTACCCGCGTCTTGGCCCGCGCAAGTGGAGGTTGAGCTTGCCGCGCCGCAATCAACTCTTCCTGAATTACATAAAGACGACCTCGAGAAGGTAACGTTTGCTTCGTCTGGTTCACGTTGATCTGATTAGGAGAGCTTACTTTGTGCGTGCTGAAACCAGGTGCACGAGATGCTCGTGTATGTCATGACGAACCTCCTCGACCGTTATCGAACTCACCTAAATCCCTCACAGCCTTCGGAAATATGTTTCATTTTCCCAAGTAAGCACGGCCCCTATCTTGTTTCTCGCTACTTGACCTTGACGTGATGGCGAAGGCACTATTGAATAGTACGTTGATTCGCGTGCAGATGGAACAATGCTCACAGGGCCTCAGGTATCCTGGCTGATCAAGATGCCACTCACGTCTTCCAAGTTTCGTGAGTTGTTCCACTGATTCCGTGTTACGTTCGTGAAGTTTGACCCAGAATAGGTCTCAAGAGATGGCAATAATCGAACACACTCGGTCTTGCTATGTGCTCGGTAGGAGTGGTACTGGGTATGAATTCTGTGGTTGATGTGAATGTCGTCGCTCATGTAACGTGCAGCAAGACAACTACGATGTTGTACAAGATGCTTGGGATAGAGCACAGCTGGCGGTCGTGTGATGGCGCTTTGGGTCGGCCTCGCCAACTCTTCGTCACACAATCAAGGGTCCTTGCTGAGAAAGTGCAAGAACATTTCATGGGCCTGCATAGTTCTATCTTGACTGCCAACAAGTCAGTCGGCGAGCTGCGAGCCATGGCGTCAACCAAGCAAATGCGGCAGGACCAAGGTCTCGTCAACTTAGATGAGGAACTGCATTTCCGAGGTGACCTGCCTCAACGATACAGTGAACTGACGGACGAACACTTCCCGATGTTTGTTACATTTGATCAAGTAAGTCTTACGGGCCCGTCTGTGTTATCGTGTTGTGTCTGACATGTGCTTGAAGCTGTGTCGCCTGTTAGAGGCCGACTTCCCGCGTTCATCCTCGTCGCAGGCACAATCTCTGCTCCAGGATGTAGATCATATGAGCGCGGACGCAGGAGCCGAAGTCATATCGAATGACTATATGCAGCGACGCAACTCGTTCGTTTCATATGACCAATTTCTGCAGTCGTATTGGGCACATTTCCCACAACCACTGACCAAAGGTCTAGGTATGCAAGGTTGGGCCCATCAACGGGTGTCTTGATACTCATGCATTTCTCACAGACCCTGCATTGGTGTTCGCGGAAATCATGGGTGAAAACTTGAGATGATATCAGCACGGCTGTCTTACTGATGAATGAATAAGGCGTCATCAAGGGTTCGGAGCAGAGCTTGAAACCCAAAGACAGCTATCTGGACAGGGAGTCGTACTGCAACCTCAGCCGTCGAACACAAGCGACATTTGCGTATCAGCGAGACGTGATCTATGATCTGTTCAATGCATACTTGGAGCGCAAGCGTCGTCGAGGTGAATATGATGCAGCGGACCGGTATGTATTCATCACTCTCCTATCGCAAAACGGTTTTGACGCCTGTTGCTACTCAGGACACATCGCCTGTTGAAGGCTTTACAGACATACGGCTTGCCCGGCAAACATATCGACTTCTTGTATGTCTGCCCGTGTCTGTACAATGCGACTTATAGATGCTGACTTCGTCAAAGATACGTAGATGAAGCGCAAGATAACATGCTCATTGATGCTCTCCGTAAGAAAATAACGCATATTGCATGAAATGCTTGTTCAACTATTCCGCAGTTCTGCGCTCTTTGAGTCGCAATGCAGATAGTGGCCTGTTCTGGGCAGGAGATACGGCACAAACCATTTCTATGGGTAGTGCATTCCGCTTCAACGATCTCAAGGCATTCCTGCATCGTGTGGAGGCAAGTCGTGATTTATCATTAGGCATCCCCCTCTTACACAGGAACAGCTGAGTGGTGAACATCCCACCACTAGAGCCCAGCCTGAGCCTCGCACGTTCAACTTGGCTGTCAACTACAGATCTCACGCAGGCATCGTTGATTGCGCCCATTCAATCGTCGAATTGATGACTATGTTCTGGCCCCATGCTATCGACCGTTTAGCTCAAGAGCGTGGTAAAGTAGAGGGAGAGAAGCCTGTGTTTCTCAGTGGATGGGACGAGGACACTGTTCGTTACGAACAATTCCTGTTCGGTGATTCGTGAGCTCGCCTTTCGCATATACTACATTCATCTGCTCATCATGCAACACAGCGGAGCCCATATAGAGTTTGGCGCGCAACAATGTCAGTTTGCGAGACGGTGCTATGATTTCCTGGCTAACTATCGCGAAGGCATCCTGGTCCGTGACGATGCCGCTCGAGATAGACTTCGTGCGCAAGTGGGTGATATAGGCCTCATACTGTCAGTGTTCAATGCAAGGTCAACCGGAAACAATGCTGATAGTGCATCATACAGGACACTGTACGAGAGCAAGGGGCTCGAGTTCAACGACGTAGGTCACGAGCTGATTCAATCTCAACCTCGAGGTCTTGATGTGCTGAACATTCACGACAGGTTTTACTCTATAACTTTTTCTCGGACTCCACAGTCGAGCAATCCCAATGGCGAGTCATCCTCAACGCACTTTCTGACTCGGATGATGCGGCTGCAACAGTCAAAGCACCACATTTCGATGAAACGCGCCACAACGGAGTCTGTCGAGATGTGAGTCCAATGTCGTTCTGTTGATGCAGGATCTCACATAATACCAGCTCAAATTTCTGTACGTCGCAATCACGAGAGCCCGCAATCATCTGTGGATCGCGGACAAATCGGAAAAATCTGAACCGATGCGAGTGAGCCGCGGTTTTCTTGCTTGCCTCGCCGTGACTGACGAAGCTACAAGCACTTCTGGACTGTGAAAGGGCACATACGAAATCATACTCCATCCGATCCTGACATCCCACGACTGGCAACATCGTCAACGCCGGAAGAATGGGCAAATACTGCCTGTACGCTTTTCAGCAACAGGCGATACCTACAAGCAATGCATTGCTACGAGCGTGCCAAGCTCGTTAGAGAGCGTGCAGCGGCCGAGGCGTACTACCTCGAAGAGAAGGCTCGCGCAGCTCACGCGATCACGCGAGCGGATAACGCTGCTCGAGCGCTGGCTTTCACGAAGGCGGCTGAAGCCTTTTGGAGGTCGGGGCTTGATGCCGTGAAAGAAAAGCAGACATACTTCCGAAAGTGTGCGGAATGTTACGTGCAAGGCAATGATCTGGCCAGAGCAGCACGTGCTTACGTCCTTGCGGAGAATTTCACCCTCGCCGTCAAACTGTATCGCAAAGCTGGGTTGTTTGATGAAGCGGTCGCGGTCATCGAAAGCCACGGCGACTTCATCGAGCCCGATGTTGTACGGTCTGTCACAGATGTGTCGCGTCTCGAGTATCTGAGGAAGCGTAACGTGAAGTGAGTACATAAATTTTCCTGCGTTGCATCGCCATATCAACTTGCCTATGTTCAGACAGGCAAGATCATTGTTTAGTTCCGACGAAGAGGCTCTGAACTACATGGATGAACGTGGGCTGGATATCGCTCGAGCGATGCTCCTGGAGCAACTCGGGCGTTTGACGGACGCAGCCCAGGTTCACTTGGACGAGGGCCGAACGACAGACGCCATCTCATTGCTTCTTCAAGACCGCGGTAACCCAGAAGCTACTCAAAGAGCTGCAATTTCTTTGCTGGATGGACTGCGATGCCGACTCCCCTTTGGAATCACGCCAGGTTCCGAAAGCGCGAAATCGGACGTCGTGTTGCAGGAGCTGCAGCGTATCCTTAACTCGCAAGGCGTGGAGGTAGCCAACGTCGACGACGTTGTCCGCGACGAAGTGAGATACGCACCTGTCGAATTACGTTTCCAGCTAACATATTCTCAATCAGCTGCTCATGTTCCAAGCGATCATATCGAATGATGTGCCGAGGCTTTTTGAGTTGAGCGAGCAATTCCGTCGGTTTCATAAAGATGTGGCTTCGGCGTTGAGGTGTCTCGACCACGCCTTCATGACCATGCCTAACCTTCGAGATGCACGCCTGCCATTGATCGCAGACACTCTACATCACTTCTCCGTATACGTGGACCTACTGCACATCTTGGCGGCGATCCCAGATCTCTCCGACGAGGAAGGCATTCAGAGGCTGTTCGCTTTCAAGGCCGCCAGCGAGGATTTCTTCCTCATACCATGCAACACCTTCCTCCATGGCCGCCGATGGTCTCAAGGGTTTAGACAGAGCGATCAGGGAGTATTGGTGCTGAAACACGATCTGAACAGATTCCTGCGACACAGCCTGCAAGAACGGCTATACACGAAGATTCGTGAAGAGAACGAATTGTGTCACCAGACGCGCGCCTTCCAAATCTGCCTACCGTTCTTCGCTTTTGGTAGATGCAACCGGGAGTGTCCTCAAGAGCATGTGATTGCGAACGAGTACACCATGGATCAATACAACCTGCGCATCCGGATCATTTTACAGCAGATTTTGATCTACAACTCGGCACATGCTGTCGAGGTCCGTTCTGTGCAATCGCGGCAACACAGGTCAGTAAATCGTTGAGCAACCAGAATGTATCACAATCACTGAACGTTTGTCCAGGTTTTGGCTACGTCAACTACACGAGGCATTGAACCCTCCTTTCTTCAAAATGGGGACGGTATGCAGCTTGCAACCGCTCATGATACCAGAGTACAATGTCGCCATCCAAGTCGTCAGAACGTGGATTCTTGACTGGCTCTACGATCTCTGGCCGCACGGCAGCCGTGATGATCTCGTGCCAACTTTCCTTACCGCATTGATGAGAACGATCTCACTCGGGATGACCTTCAATCCTGACGTGTTGCTATATAACCTGCCTCAGGTATCTGTTGCTACATGTCGACCCAAAGCGCTCGTGCGCGGCAACACAGAAATGAAGTCCGATGCATACGTGGTTCAGGACCTCGAGCGATACGTCCACACCATGCATCCGGCCTCACTTGCAAGTGGTATTCTGTTCATCAAGTGAGCCTTCATTTCCCTATTGCCCTCACCCTTTCTGACATGGAACATGGAATGACCTCGTGTTCTAGCCATGTGCTCGTCAACCGGCTGTCCGTGGACATCGTTGTGCTTTGTGAATTCATGGACAACCTTGCTGGGCTGCTCATAGTGGCATCTCGATTGAGCGACGCAAACACTCTTCACGATCTCACTATGCCCCGAAGCTGGCTCCAGCGAGTTCTTCCTAGTCTATCGCAATTGAAGAATCAGCGCACGAATCTGATCCGCTCATACATGGAGCCTATGGCCGACTTACTGGACCAAATATACACTACTGTCGATGCTGGTACGCCTTGCCGGTTCGATGGTGGGTTCTCAGTCTGACGACTCTAACAGGGCATCTCCTTTTTGAAAGTCGTGACCTCTCGAAACTCGGTTGGCACGTGAGAAATGTCTTCCTAGCGAGAATGTAAGTTTGAACGTAGAACTTATCAATATCCTTGCCGTATGCTGACAGTAACACTGTGTGAAGCTGCAGGAATCTCTGCCTCCGTACGTCATGGCTCAGCGTTCAGCACTGTCTTAGGAACACCCATTCACTCACTCACTATGTTTCCTATAGTCGGTTACAATTCCCGCTACACATGGCTCCGAAAAGATATCCACCGTACAATCACCTCGCTTCGTCGCCCCGGCCGGGATTTCAACCGCATCTATCAACAGTGAGGAGTCTGCGTTCTTTTTCCCCCATACTGGTACTGAGAGTCAATATATAAGCTACGTCGATGCGCTCAATTGGGATGCTCTTGCGAAGGAGGTTCGCGGATATTCTACATCGGGGTCTCCGTTCGATGAGATGGTCCAGCTCTACCACGCAAAGCTGGGACGGCCTCAGTTACCACCGCGACTGAACGTGCGGCGTGTCATCTACAACGACGCGAGGGAGATCCCAACTCTGCTAGGCTATGGCGCGGACACAGCTTCGTATACCACTCCCGGCCTACACAGAGATGTCGCGCCTTTTATTGCTCAGCGTGCAGACGGGCCCCCCAGGGCGGTTGATTCTCTTGCCACTGCCGTGGAACACGAGCACGACGACAACTTACCAGAGGCAAATGTAGATCAAGACTCCGACACTGCGCCTCCCGTAGTCAATCTTGATGACGAATCGTTCGCTTTCGCAGCACCGGACCCCGCTGCCGCGCAGCTGGCACAGGAGAAGCTCGATGCAGCCCGAGTGCTCGCCAACGCCTATCTCCGTGCGCGCCGCAGGAAAAAGGGCGCGTTCACGACACCGGCCACTACGATTCACCTCCGCTTCGCCACTGCCTACCGCTTGACGTACACGTACAAGTGGGTTGAGTCAATGGAGAAGCCGCAGCGACTGTACCGTCTGTTGCTGCTGGTACCGCTGCCGCACAGCATGGTCTTCCTAGAGCTTGCGCGCAACCACCTGCATGACACGAAGAACCGCTTGGAAAAGCTTCTCAAGAACGTCCAACATTCGGGGCTCGAGAAGGTCAGTGGCGAGATAACGCAATGCAAGTGAGTCACAATTCGCCGTCCCCGTTCGGATCGTGACCGAGTCGTGCGTTTGTTGACACCGACCTTATCCAGCGACCAGCTCAAGGAAGCTACACGTCTGATTAAAGCCCTACAACCTGGCGCCAGCATGCACGAGAGACGGGACAGAGAGGAACTCAGGGCCTGTATGCGTGACGTGGAACAGCTCGCGCGGAGTCTGCCGTCAGGCGTGACTGCCGGTTGGGACTTCTACCTAAAGACCGCCGTCGATGGTATACTCAAGCAGAAGCCGCAGCCCATGAAGAAGCCCAAGCCTGAGCTGAACATGGCCGACGAGAACATGGTTGACTATGCCGACGGCTCCGTCACCGCGCGTATCCTCCAACCGGACGTGCTCCTGAGCAACGGTGTCGCCCACATCATCGACCAGGTCCTAGTAGACACCCAGGAGGACGCCAGCGCTGCCAGCTCCGCGTACGTCCTTCCCTGCTCCTGTACCTCCGAGTGAAGTGGTTGCTGACGGAGAGATTTCGTGTAGGGCCGCGTCGGCGACGTCTGAGGCTGCACAGAGCACGACGGAGACGCGTCCGATTGGGTACTCGCAGACGGCGACGCTCGCGTCGGGCGCGTCGGGCTCGAGCTCGTCTTTAAGCAGCTCGGCTGGTATCGCGATGCGCGGACCTAGCACGAGCCAGATTCTCGCCTTTGGATACACCGCTGTCGCTCTCGGCGTGGGTGCCTTCGTTGTCCTGGCTTGAGCGGATCAGGATTGCGAACAGAATTTCACGCGTTAATGGACGGCGTCTTGTTCTTGACTCGGATGAGCATGAACAGATACGGGGACTTTATTTGTTTTGTAGGAATGGGTTGAACAGGTTGTGGTTTTGTATTATCGTAGCAATATGTAGCATTCAATCAGTGACGCATCATTTACGGACCATGCGACGCGATACGTGCAGATTTTTGGAGTCCTAGAACGGTGCGGTGCGCATTGCGCGCGACAGCGTGAAGGATGGGCACGCCGAGTCACCGACGTGCGGGAGAGGAACCTGGAGCGATATAATGATGCGCCCACATCAGATGACTCCCGCCGATTTCCATATCTGGGCGTGCCGACCCACGTCGGGCCCGACGGAGCACCGCTTTGGGCCACCGACGATCAGGAGGCGCGTGCGAGTCGCGCTATATACACCGGGGGCAAGACGCGTCGGTCGGAGCGCGAACATTGGAAGGACATTGTACGAATTATGATACATTTTCTCACGGTTTTCCGCGGCCGAACACTGCGAGGACATTTGCCATGTTTGGACACCGGACATGCAGCATGTTCGTAGCATGTACTGTATGGAAACAGCGGGGAATGATAAATACTGGCCTTGGTATGTCCTGATGCAGAACACGAGGAACACAGCCAAAATGTTCCCGCCTACAACATTGTGCGAACATTGCGTATACACTGGAATGACATAAGCATGCCCGGAGCAAGGACATACTGCATGTCATAATGCAAGGCATACTAAGAAAATCCAAAGAACATCGCCGGATTTGCGGACATATTGTATGGTCTCGACATGTTCCATTTGTAGACATGCAGCATGTCCTCGCTCCGGGCATGCTCAGGACGTGCTTATGTCATTCCAGTGTACACGCATTGTTCGCACAATGTTGTAGGCGGGAACATTCTGGCTGTGTTCCTCGTGTTCTGTATCAGGACATACCAAGGCCAGTATTTATTATTCCCCGCTGTTTCCATACAGTACATGCTACGAACATGCTGCATGTCCGGTGTCCAAACATGGCAAATGTCCTCGCAGTGTTCGGCCGCGGAAAACCGTGAGAAAATGTATCATAATTCGTACAATGTCCTTCCAATGTTCGCGCTCCGACCGACGCGTCTTGCCCCCGGTGATAGCTGACGCTTGGCCCACGCGTCAATCGCGCCCCTTTCACCCCCTCTCCCACCGTCCAGCCCAGCATGCCTCCCAGGAAGAAAGCCGCGATGACAGACGCGTCCGACGCCGCGAAACCCGCGTCGGCGCGCGCGACGCGCTCTAGCACGCGCACGAAGGCTCCTTCGTCTAAGGCCTCGACGTCTGCTGCGGCGGCGCCCGCCCCGGCCCCGGCCCCTGCGTCTAAAGGGAAGGCGAAGGCGAGTGCGAGTGCGAAGCGCGGGAGGGCTGCGTCGGACGAGGAGGAGGACGAGGAGCCCGAGGCGAAGAAAGCGAAGACGAGCGGCGCTGACGATGGCAAGGGCGGCGGCGGCGCGTCGCAGAAGTCGGATCCGCCTGCGAAGATGGTGCGTCTCGTGTTCACGGCGCGTGGATGCGGGGTGTGGCTGACGCTGGCGTGTTTCTGGAGGTGACGGTGCTGAAGCGCGGGGCTGCGCCGGTCGACCCGTGCTCGGGCTGGGTGGGTGAGTTGCTCTGTTGTGTGTTCTCGGGGGTGCGACGTGCGCTCATCCGCGACGTGTGGCTTTTAGATACGCACCAAGTCTTGGCGACCCCGGAGGGTGTCTGGGACGCGACACCGAACCAGACGGACATCGGGAAGAACGCAAACAAGTGAGGCTCCCCTGACCTCACGCTGTGGCCTCTGTGGGGCTGACCCGCTCACGTCGGTCCTGCGCAGATTCTACGTCCTGCAGGTCCTGCACCCCGTCGGCAACGAAGCAAACTGCACGCTGTTCACGCGCTGGGGCCGCGTCGGCGAGAACGGGCAGCAGCAGAAGAAGGTACGGACCCACCACAGCTCGCCCGTCCGTCGACTCGAGCTGAGCGCATACGCATTGTCCGTCGCAGCCTGGGATGTCCGCATCGGCTGCCGTGAGCGCGTTCAAGGCGCAGTTCAAGGCGAAGGCCGCGGTGAACTGGGAACAGAGGCATGGGATGGTCGCGAAAAAGGGTGGGTGCCGCCTTCAGTTGGACTAGGAGTCGCTCAACCGGACGCTCATCCGGACGTGGACCACAGGAAAGTATCAGTGGATAGGTCGGTTCTTCGCGTGTTGTTGGTTAGCCTCTGCGCAGGGCGTGCTCAGCGTGCCTTTAGAACGTATTTTCGAGGACGAAGGACAGGAAGATAGGGTGGAAGGTAGCTCGAAAAAGGACGAGGAGCCGGAGAAGATCCCCGACTCCACTCTCCCGCAAGAGATTCAGGTGACGCCGGAAAGGATGCTCCGTCGTGGACATGCCATTGACATCTCTACCCTAGGCACTATGCAGACTGATGTTCTCCGCGAAGTAAGCGTTCATCGTATGGAAAAAGGTGCTTGCTGGTGCCCAGCATCTAAAGGCTCATCGATGCTACGCTGTCTTCGATGAACTACGACGCGAACAAGCTGCCCCTTGGTGCGCCCTCCGCGAGTAGATCCAGACTTATTGTCTGACCGTTCTGTCCAGGAAAACTGGCCAAGTCGACCATTCTCAATGGGTTTGCCGCTCTGAAGGTTCGTGGTGCCACGTTATGGCCAGAAGCTCGCGATCACAATGTTGATGGTGCTGTTCCAGACCCTCTCAGAGGTCATCTCGCAGCCGGATAGTGACACGGCGAAGCAATATGGTGGCTTCCGCTCTGCAGTCCAAGAACTGACTGGCCGCTACTACTCGTGAGCATGGCGTTCACTCTGCGCTCAGCGTAGCTGACAGCCTGGCTAGCATGATCCCGCATGTATTTGGGCGCAACCGTCCGATTACCATCGACTCATTGCCTCTGTTGAAGAAGGTAAGTGATATTCTGTCTGCTTATTAGGTCTTAACTGAGGACGTGCGCGTCCAGGAACTGGAACTCGTCGATGCGCTAGGAGACATGGTACATGATTCCGCATCCCTCACAACATCGGGGCCCACTCACTCTCGCACAGGAAGTAGCCTCGAAGCTTATTTCGTCCACGGTCCCCAAAGACGCGAGCGGCAAGCCCCTCAACCCACTGGACCACAACTTCCTGTCCCTCAATCTCTCCAAGATGGACCCGGTCTCGCGGAGCAGCAAGGAGTTCAGTGCGCTCGAGGCGTACACTCGCGATACGCGCGGCGCGACACACCGCCATTCCCAGGTGCACGTTCAGAATGTGTTCCGCGTTGAGAGGTAGGCCCTCAGTTCGATGTGATGCCTTGACTCCATGAGATGCTGACGATCGTGCTAGACAGGATGAGACGGAGGCGTGGATGAAGGCTGGGAACGATAAGGTTGCGGACGGAGAGCGTCTCCTGCTCTGGCATGGTTCCCGTTCGACTAATTTTGCAGGTATGCTGCCTCTCCTCGCAGTGATGTACTCGATTATGAAACTCCATTCCCCTCAGGTATTCTCAGCCAAGGTCTGCGGATTGCTCCTCCGGAAGGTGAGGCAGTGCACGTTCGATCATCTCGCTTGCTGACGATTGCACACCTGCAGCTCCCGTCACTGGTGTGTTACCAAGTAACATGGGCATACTGAGGGCGTACTGACGCTATCCAAGGTTACATGTTTGGCAAGGGAGTTTACTTCGCCGACGTGAGCACTTCACGGATTGAATCGAACGCATGATCTGATTGGGTTTTCTAGATGATGTCAAAGGTAAGTCGAAGAGCCGTCTAAGGGGATCCATGCCACTGAGCGTCGCCTAGTCCGCCAATTATTGCCATGCATAGTATGTTCCTCGATGGCTACGTCACCGAAACCCGACCCGACTCTCTTCCCCTAGCCTGAGTGATAACACGGGTATCCTCCTCCTGTGCGAAGTTGCAGCGAAGCCTTTCTACGAACAGTTTGATGCCAATCACAACGTCGACCAGGACTGCAAGAAGGCTGGTGCGAGGTGCGTTGGCGTTGTCTGTTCAGTTCCTCCAGCGCAGCAGACTGATCACACTTCCAGGTGCACTAAAGGTTGCGGGCGTACTCCTCCCGGGGAGTGGCAAGACGCAGGCGCCACTTTAGAGAACGATGCACTCAAAGGCTGCGCTATGCCGAAGGGACCTGGTAAAGACGTCCAGAACATCCAGGGCTATCTGCAGTACAACGAGGTAGACTGTACCTCTCTTTCGACGAACATTGATTAACATTGATTGTTTAGTATATCGTGTACGATACGTCGCAGGTTCGCTTGCGCTACCTCCTAATGGTCAAGATGAATTAGTAGCATGCTCCTCTCATTCGCCAGCGGACATTGACAGTGCGAGATCTAACACGCGGTACAATACATTGTTTATCTAAATTGTGCCCAACGGGATGTCATGTTGCTCTTTCTCGCTGTCTCGCTATCGTACGCTCTACCGACGAAATACATCTGTGCCTCGTCGATGTCATTGTACCTACAGTACGATACAACAAATAGAATGTACATTCATATGACTCAATCCACTCTCCTCCGCTTAGCGTCGTGTTCCCCGTCTACCGACCGTGAGCGACGTCTCCGATCCTGTCTGGGCTCGTCCCTCTCTCGCCATCCCTCTCTCCGCACAGGAGACCGTGATCTCGAGTATGGCTGCCGTCTGCGGTCCCTGTCCCTGTCTCGGCCGTCATACCGATCCCTATCCCTGTCGTCCCGCCGGTCATACCGATCTCGCCCACCATACATGTCCCTGTCTCGCTCATGCCCTCCTTGCTGCTCTCTGCTCTTCTCGCGACTTCTCCGCCTATCCCGTCCATCTCCATCGGCATTCCGATCACGTTCCCTCCATGAGCCCTTCTCCTTCTCCCCGTCCCGATCGCCTCTCGCGCCCCACTGCCGTCCGGCCGTACCACCACCCATGCTCGCGTTAGCACCGGTACCAATCTTGTTCGGCGGTAGATTATTGTTCTGCGGACAGTCCTTCTTGAGGTGTGGCCCGCCGCAGAGGAAGCAGCCGGCGCCCGACCCGGGACCGACGGGCTGGCCGGCCGTCCCACAGAATGACGTCAGGCCTGGACGCGTCCACCTGTGACGCTGGCGATTCCTAATGGAGTCGGTCGAGTCACAAGAAACAAGCGCAGGAGAGAGACAGGGTAAAAGACTGCTCTTTGGGGTTCCAAAATACGCTACCGTACAGTTCGAACGAGTCCTCCTTATATACTACAGGAGGGGACTTCTGGGGTCCTTCGGGTATAAGCGAACCGTACGGTAAGGAACGAGTGAGGCTTGGTAAACGAAAAAGGAAAGTGGTGATGTGACGCGAAGCGGATCGTTACAGACGCCCTCCGGCCATCGTAGCACGATGGTCTATGGCCACAGACTCCTTCCTCTGAAAGATTCACGGTCCTGTCACGCTCTGGTCTCAGCGCTTGACGGTCCCATCTTCCCACGGCCACCATATCGGGACACCGGTCCCACCGGCTCTCGATAGTCGCCGACCGCCACGCCGTGGCCCCCAGTAACTCTCGCTCGAACCTGCATCCCTCCGTTGAACCATTCCGCGTCGTGGAGAGGATGTATTTACGTTGATGTAGAGTACTATTACATGCAGTAGAAGTACGACATTTACGAGAATGTGATTAATCTGTGAATTAGAAGCTGTGCAATAAATGTACTATGATCAGGGCCCAGTCCGGCGTCGACGACGACATTGCGCTATAAGGGCGTGGTACACCCATCTGACGAGCCCGACACTTGCTGCATGGCCTCCCAATTAGAACGAATCCCCGCGTCCTCGGCCAGAATTTTGCGCCATGTTCTCGCGACGACAAGCTTCTTGCTGCTGATGATCCACTTGCCGCTCTTCCTGTAGCGAAACGCGCCATGCGCGTCGGCGCGGTCCAAGTCCCCGCCGAAATATTGCATCGCTGCGTTGTAGTCGACCTCGTCTGTGCATCCTCGGCCCTCCTGCAGCTTGTCGAGGATCTGCTGGTATGATAGTTTCTCTCCCTTCTCGTCACTATACATGTTCCAGAAGGTCTCCTCCGACGGAAAACGTTCGCGTTCTGCCACCAAGAACTGTGAAGCGAGTCGAGTGAGCGTGTTATAGTAATGGCAATAGCTGTACGCACCTTCCAGTTCCCCCATTCGACTTTGATTGCCTTCCACGCGTCCGTCTCCACTAATCCGTTGCGCTTCTTGTAGATCTTGTCCCAATGTTTGATTGGAATCCCGCGCCCGTTGATCCTTAGCCACTGCGACATGTGCCAGTCTCGGAAGAGAGCCGAGATGTCGTCCGAAAAGTGGATTGCAGGCGGGTCAGGGAGGTGAGCTCTGTCAAATTGAATGTCGTGACCATCGAGACTGATGCGGATGTGCTGGGTCGATGTTGTACTCTGTGGCATGAGTGTGAGTTGCTCGAGCGTAGTCGAATTGGGGCCGCCGGGCTCGGGTACAGATACTGTAGTTGGCGACTCGGATGTGCATGCGGCGTTCGCGACGGTCTGCACGGAGCGAGGTATGTTTCGGCTGGCAGTACCACTGGCAGCCGGCACATGCCTGGAGCCTTGCATGGGCCCGTCGGCATGTGGACTGTGAGACTGGTTTATAGGCGCAGAACTGACTTGGAAAGTATTGAACAGTGAGCGGAAGGTCCTCATGTCGTCCAGAATTTGATCCTGCTTATGTCCGACTTGACCCAACTCACGCTGGATCTGGCGGAGATGGACGCCCTAGTAGTGGTAGTACAGGTGGTGAGTATTACTTCCGAGCCATGTTCGATGGTGGCAAATGATGCAACTACCACTTACAGTATAGCTCGACTGATGGACTACGACATCAGAAGTGTCTGCAGTACGTTCATCTGCTCGACCATCACTGCTCTGTCTACTGATGGTGGTCTGCAGTGCCGCATGCTCTCGTTCACGGTTGCTGGCAAGTACTGCTGCAGACTGGCAAGAACTGGAATGTCAGTTTTCACGTCAGTCATGAACAGCGCTGACAACGTTACCCAGGAGTTATTATTGGCAATGGTGCTCTCTGCGATCTGACCCGGTACGCGTTTATCCCCACCGCATTTACTCTGATACTCGACTACTGCCTCCCTAGGACCGAATTGGGTAAGGATGCGCTTCGCGGAATGGCTTGTAGAGCGTGATTCCGAGATGTCGCCGCGCTTCCGTTTGACAGCGGGTTTGAACAGACTACCATGAATTGTTGGATATTGTTCAGATGTCAGGTGAGTGAAGGTATACATACCTGACCCATTGCTCACGGTCATTTGCGAAACATCGCAGGCGTTCGATCAGGACACTTTTATTCCCACTCTTCGGGAGTCCATACTCCGCGAGTTCTTTGCTGAGTTCTTTCTTCGTTGTCGACTTCGTACTAACCCTTTGTAGTCTGTACATAATCGTCAAGCTGTTCTGGTGAGCACTCACATGGTGAAGGTCGTTAGTTCAATCTCCTCGTTTTCGTGTAGTGTTTGACCCGCACGTGGTAGCAGGAGATCCTCGCTCTGAGTATCTAGGCCTGGGTCTCGGTGTGATTGCACCGAGACTGACTGATTAGTTGTGGACATAAGATAGACCCCCAGAAATATAAAGAATTGAGTGGTGTCGTCGTCGAGTCTGTGATGTGTATAGTGTGTGATCGGTAGACAGAGATGTGAAGAATTCGGTTGTGAGGAAAATACGGATATTCACACCAGGGGTGTTGCATCCGAGCCCTCCGTTTCATGGTGTCGCTGCCCTGACCTTCACACAATGTCCTCCGAGTCTCATCCACTGATCCCAAATGGTGCATTGCAATGCTTGCTAGGCAGCGAGAGTATCGGAGCAGAAGATGTAGAGCAAGACCATGAGGAGGAAGTCGAGTCGCTGCTCGCCAGCCTTCAAGACCTTGGTGTTCATTGCAGACAAGAACCTGGGACTACTGCTAACTCGGCGACAGATGACGTTGACGAAGATGATAACTCTGTCAAGAAACAGAAGCTAGACTTGAACATGGCGAAGAAGCATTTGAAAAAAGCGTCGGAGCAGGTCGTTGTTGCGAACACCTTGCAGGAATATCAGCGGTACGTCACAGTCCGAGTCCGAGTTGGGACTTGTAGTATAACCTGCATACCGTTCTGAGTGTTATCGACCACAGCTATTGGGAGCAATTCGTGGTGTTCTGCGCTGAGATGGGCTTTGTGGGTGAAGCCGACGAACTTGAAACTTGCGATCACGGTATTCCGGAGGATGTCCCGACGTGGATGGCAGTGTGGATCATGAACAAGTGCGGCTTCTTGACTTCTCCTCTATACTTGTGCTCAGATTCATGTCGTGGCAGAGCGGACGAGCTGGATATCTATACAGGCAAGCCAAAGGGCCTGACCGTGTCGCGCGTCAAGTACGCAACCGCTCAAAAAATGCGTGCAGCAATCAGCCACAAGTTCGGTCGCGACTTCGGTTTCGGTGACCAGCCATGGACTCAAAACCCTGCAACTGGAAAGTTCACGGGGAACCCTTCGCTGTCAGTTACAGTATCGCAGTACATGATTAGCTTACAGCGGCGCAAGGTGAGTATTACTGTTGGGAAGTAGGCAGCAGGCATCTCTGATAAAGACCAGGCGTAGCCCTCATCCTGATACATTAAATACTTGTCCTTACAGTCCAGCTCTGATACATGAATGTTGTAACTAGCAGACGGCCTGTGAATGTATAAGCAATGTATGCAGCGATGTATGAGACGTGTGAAGCAATGTATGAATCATACATCGTGCCAGAGACGTCTGATATATCAGTGCATATGGTGTTGTATCAGTCATACATCGCACTGCAAACACTTACCTCAGAGCCCGTGGTGTTTGATACATCAATGCCCGCCGGGTATGCTATTCTGGGTTAGTAACATTCATGTAAACTAGCTTTGGATGGCGGCGCCGTTTTCGTGCCCGGCCGGGACTGCGCGTGAGCTTGCGGGGACCCGGTCCCCCATGCGCCAGATCTGGTAGTAGTGGTCAGCGCTGTTGCTTCCATATCGGGTAGGCTTCGGGTAGGCTTTGGGCAGCTCGATTTGGCACTGTGGGCGTCCGACTCGGTCTCCGTACTTTACAGTGATACTATTCGACTGCCACACTGTCCGTATCCTTGACGAAACCCTTTGAAAGACGAGCCTATACCAGTATGTGGCTCATTGTACATACCTAACATGTTGTACTCAGGCCTCAAGCTCTTGCCTTATTGGTTCGGGATGCGGTGCTAGGCGCTTATTACTACCTTGCATGACCGTGGGACAACGCAGTTCTCGTCCCTCTAAGTCACATCACAACGGCGCACCTTGTAGTCGCCTTCCTCTTGTATCGCCTTCCTTGTTCAACTCCAAGCGAATCCCTCTTGTTCAACTCCCGCAAACCATTGTACTACGAAGTCCCAGAAAGGTGAGTCTAATTGATCTGTTTTCAATGCTTTAACTTGTAGACCTTCACTTGCTAGATGCTCGCAACTCGCCGGCGAAGGCGCGGTCGACTTCTGCGTCAGTATGCTTCATAGGAGGAGGCGGAGGCCTGAGGACTTTGTAGAGTTGAGATGGCTATGACCGGTAAGCATCGATACTCTTATGACGCACATGTATGATAGATGGTGCGACGCTAACAGCTGTCGGCGCTCTCGCCTTGTCATTGTAAAGTACCCCTCGTTCGCATTGTCAAGTTCATTATGTTATAGCATTCCTCAGCATCGTTCACTGTGCAGTCCAGTGCCGTGTATTTCAAGATGGTATAGTATATACAACTATCACAAATTGTCCGGGTGCGAGATCTCGGCGGCTCCTCTCAATCAACCCTTTTAAAACGAACACGGATTCACCCCGTCTACTTACGCCTCTTCACTGGGCCTCCCTTCTTCCCTTCTGCAGGCCGCTTCATTCCCGTTGCCACTTCCGTCTCTACGCCCTGGGTGTCGGTACTCGTTTTATCCGGCCTGGCAGGGGACTCGTCCGGACGTACCGGGCGCCGACGCACACGCTTGGGCCTACCCCGGTCGCTATCATCGGCGGTAGCATGCTCGTCTGGCATCGTTGTCGAAGCCTTAGCTGTCGGCGTCTTCGCGTGCGGGCTGTCTCCGGCCGTCTGGCCACTGTTTCCACCAGACGATTGTCCTGTTGCTGGGCCGGGTGGGTTGAGTGGAGGAGCTGAAATGGTGGGCGGCAGGGACGATGTGGACAGGGACGGACGCGCCGTGGAGGTCGAAGTAGTAGGTGCTACCGTGGGCACGGCGGGCGGGGGATCTACGTGCTGCGACAGGTAAGTGTCGTCAGCGCCCCGCATACTCGAAACGGGCGATGAGGACTGACGATCGGCTGATTGGGCAGCCTTCGCCATCGTGTTCGAAGCCTTGGCCGGAGCGACTCCGTTAGACGAGAGTCCAGGTGTCACGATAGGAAGGCGAGTCGGTGTCTGAGATAGCGACGAAGACGAAGGCTGTGGAGTGGGGTAACGTAAAGGCAAGTTTCCCTGCGCTGCGCTGCCAGGGTTGGCTGCCCTCATGCTCTGACCATGTGCCGGTGCATATGATGCAGGGGCCGGCGGCTCAAAGCGCGGTGGAACGGGGTCCCAGGTGGGAAATTGACTGTCCATCGAGGATAAGCTGAAGTTAGACGAGGACGCGGACGAGGACGGGAAGGTCGCCGAGGAGGAGGGAAAGTTGCAGAGGAGGACGGGAATTGTGCAGAGGAGGATGGGAGGTTCATCATGGACGACGAGGCCGTGAACCATGATGGGATGTCTGGCGCGGAAGACGGGGTGTTCGCTGAGGAGAACGGCATGGCCACGGAGGCCATCGCGCTCGAGTTGGCGCGGACGACGTCGTTGCTCTGCATCAGTCCACCTGGTTGCACGGGCCAGAAGGCTGTCGGCGCAGGTGCAGGGACGGGGAATTGCGGGACACCAGATGTGGATCCAGGTTGGGCAGCCGAAAAGTCTGCAGGAGGGAAGTCGAGGAGCGAGAAGTCGATCGAAGAATAATCGATGTCGTCCTCGTTTTGGTACGGCAACTCCAACTCCTCAGAGAACCCAGGCACGGATGTCAACTCGCTAGACACGTGCGAGCCGACTACAGGTTCGTCCATTACAAGTCTGTCATGCCAAGTCTGATTCACCGCTGTCGTATTAGGCGCGGAGAGCGACAAATGCTGGCCAGCAGAAGGTAGTACTAGCGCCTCAGCGGGCGGATGAGGAACAACGTCATGATCTGCCGGACGAGTATTCATCTCGGACGAGGTGCGGGCGGCATGGGCCTCGCCTTCAGAGGCATCAACCGCAGCGGGGTCTGTAACCGGCGACCGCTCCATGAGGTCGGTGAGCACCGGCTCAGTGTTGGGTTGTGCTTGAGGAGTCGCGCTCGGTTCCCGGACCGAAGACACTGGCGTGGACGCCGCTGGACTTCCTGGGGTGGGAATGGTGAGAGGCGGGCTCGCGCTCTTCGATTGTTTACGAGAGCGGATGTCAGCTGGTAGCGCGTGAGTATTGAATGTGATCTTCCCATTGTGCTCTGAAACTCACATATCTCTTCTTTGACATACTCAAGAAAAGGTCGGACGAACTGAGGCACGAAGTTGCTCATTCTGCCAATGTTGTGTTCGACGTCGTCGCCTTCCTGATGGAATCTGCAATCACAGTGAGATTTGTGGATCGCACAGCACAAGAGCAGTACTCACGCAATGCTCTCGATCTGACCTTCAGAACCAGGCACCTCCCCAGCCGCAAGAACCAAGAAGTACCAGCCGGTTCTGCGATATATCTCGAGGAACAATTGTCGGAGAATCGCAGGTAGGTCGTCAAGCACTCTGTATATAATCTCTGTCAGTTCAATGCGTGCGGTGACAAGCTTCGATGTACGTACGCTTGGCACATCACAGCGTCAATGACGTTCTCCGGCGACTCCTTATCAGCTCCTTCCTCGCCCTCACTGCCGTCGTCTGTCGAATTCCCGGCCATCGTCTGACGTGCAAGCATCTGCGCTCGAACTTCCGCCTTGATGGTCTCGTTCTCCTTGTCAAACGCCTTCACTGTGACATCCTTGATGATCTGGAGCCTCTCAGTTCTCGCAACGATGTGTCCGGCTACCTTCTTCTTGGCTATCTCCTTCTCCACCAGTGGTTTGACCCGCTCGTCATAGTACATACGGGAATAAACCTCAGTGTCTTTCAAGCTGCGTCGTGATTTCGACTTGAAGAAAAGGTCCGTGTTCACTCGCGTCGACTTGGCTTTACGATTTTGCTGACTGGCCAGGTTATTGAACCAGTTATAAATTTGCTTTCACGTAAGTATAGGTCAGCAGACCCTCGGTCGTCATCCAATAGGTATACGTACCTTTTGACGGGACTGAATGGCCTTTTGTAATTGCTGATTCTGATCTTCTGACAGCTCACCGTCGACACCCGGAAGGACCCTAGCCTTCTCCGGGAATGCGGAGAACCACTCACGGTACACCGTGGGCCAGAACCGTTGAAGATTTTGCGCGAGCTGATGTGACCGGAACGCATCTACCTTCGACTGCAAGAAGCCGGCCTCCTCAGCGGTAGTCCAGCGTGGCGGAGCCATGAAGTGCTGGGTGTGTCGACGTGTTGCGGCTCAGTCCGTAGCTGCAAAGCCTGCTACATCAGCGAGGCAGTATGTTATAAGGCGGCGCCAAAAGCCAGCCTCTACCCCTCGACATGGATGGTATAGTCCGACATTTTCTCTAACAAAATTGTTGCGCATTGCCCAATAAACTGATCGTGACGTCGTACGCAGTCCATCGGCTTCCGGAGCTACTCCGTCAAATTGGTGCGGGTGCAGTTACTCAACCAATCGCTCAACGCGTCGCATCAGAAACAGTTCCAGAGAACTTGCGACTCACTCTGGGCTCTTGACCCTGAATATCCTGTCGCACTCCGAACAGACCGCCATTAGCCGAGGCATGAGAGTCGATCCAGGTAAGGTAGTCGTTATTGCCGCAATGCTCGCTGATAACCTTCTGTCATCGGCTGTGGTGCGAAGCACATGGTCGCGTACATTCTATAAATGAGCCGACGTTAGAGGAGCAATATTGCAACACCCCGTCTCAGCTATTGCACACCACGTCAGCGTCACCATGGCACACAAGGGGAAAGGGGTTGACAAGCCGGCTTCAGACGGCGAGCAGCGGTTCACCTTGAACCAGCTCCAGCAACTCCTGGAGGCGATGCATCTCGTCTCTGAGCAGGAAGGTATGCTGTGCTCACAGTCGTCACGGACGCTCGTTCAGGGATGCTGAAGCCGTTTGCAGCGGAACGCCAGATGTGGCAAGATGTAGAAGATGACAGTCATCCAAGTACGTGTGGCCGCAACCAAGTTCAAGGTACGCGTGGTACTTAGGCTGACGGCTGACAGTGGTGTCAGGACCATTTCCCTCGTCCGAGTCGTCTACGTCCTCTGCTGCCGGTAGTAGCTCCCAGGCCGGAGGCGGTGCTCCGGCCGCTGCATCCCCGGCCTCCGTTCCTCTCGCGCGACCTGCTTTCCCTGGCAGTTCGTCTGCGTGTCGTCGCGGCGCTGGTCGCGGAACACTGCCGACTGCTGTTGGCAACAACGAGCACACCGGCGGACACTGTGGCAATTTCCACCGCCCCATCGAGGAGACTGAGCCTCGCGGCAACGTTGGAACAGTCAGGTGGTACTGCATCACGCGCGGTCAGGCCGTTGGAATCTTCCGTGACTGGTAAGCACGACCGCACCTCAGTGATTTGTGACGCGCTGACACTATCCCATCTAGGATGCTGGTGGCTCCTTTGGTCATTGGAGTTCCTAACGCAGTTTTCCAGCGCTACCCTACCTTCGGCGCTGCGCTCGCGGCGTTTATGAGGGCCGCTGAAAACGGCAACGTTGCCGTTATTATGTAGGGCAGACATGGGGTGTTGGCTTGATCCATTGCTACGATAGATCCCCTGTTCCCTGTGCCGCCTTCGGCCGCGTATCGTGTCCTTGTTACTCCACATCTTGTACGTACTATCTTGGCTGCTGTAGAACCCCAACTCCGAGCGTTGTCATCCATCTTGAACCAATATTTGTGCTTGTCTATCCTTACAACTCACCCAGAAATGGGTCGACGAGCGAAGCATCTCAACCTCGCAGACAAGCGCAAAGCCAAGCGCTATCAGCAAGCGAAGTACAGTGCTACAGATCAGTAAGGGCCTCAACAGTGCGATGGAAATACACCTCTAAGTCGTTGTGTTGTGTTGCAGCGGGAAGGCTCAGCGGGCGGCACAGAGCCGTGTTCAGTATGCATCGCGCTACGGGCACTTCGCCACACCTTTCCCCAAAACGATCGAAGGGATATTGCCGGTCATTCTCGCTCATGCTAGGAAGCCGTTTCACATCCTCGTGAGCTCGCCCGACTCTTCGGAACTGGGTCTCTATACATGGCCCTACAAGCTCGTCATCCCCACCCAGTATTCGACGAAATTCTCGGAATACGATGAGCTGTTCACAGACGTAGATCACGTTCTGAACGAACTCACGCGAGTTTTGAACGCGCAACAATACTGGCTGTTGGCGGAGGGCGGGCGCGAGAGGTATGCACAATTGAAGGCAGCCGGAGGCGAGGCTCTGGCAGAGAGGCTACAACAGGAGCTCAGTGTACGGCTGCAGAGCTGGGAGGATGCGGTACAGAAGGAGATGTCGACTGAGACTGCTGTTGCACAAGTGGTCGGTACAGAATGGGCCGCGCGAATTATCTGTTGTCTTGCGTTGGAGTTACAGCTTCTGGAGTCGAGTATCATCATGTACGACGAGAGTTTCAACAGTGAATCCTTACCGTGGCAGAGGTTGTACCATAGCCCTGTAAGCTAGTTACATGTAGTCGAAATGTACGATCAACTTGAGTCTTGAATAACTCGCTCGCCACGGCGCCCTAAGTACTCATAGTCCCTGAGGTCACGGTTGGCTACTGTCATTGCATGACGAGTATAATTGCACACAGCCGAACTATAAGCATTTAGAATGAGGCTTTGCAAAAACATGAGTGTCGAGGTGTCAATTGCAAGTCGTTGAATCATGTCGTAGTTGTACAATCGTCTATGCCAGTGCTGACTCGGAGTGTCATGCAACTACTAGTTGAATCGAGATGAATATTCCACCCCTTTTGTCGGCATGCAAGCCTGTGATCGCCTCCAAAACACGATTATGTGTGATTCTAGGACCTCCTGCTACTGTAGGATCCTGCACGTACTGTTTTAACACGAAAACATACCTTGGTAGGCATACCGCTGACCGCTATCTGGGCTCTCATTGGCTCGTCGATCATATGTGCTCTGAGGCGCTCAATGCCAAATAAGGGAGATCATTCACCTTCCGCTTTGCGCCGTCGCCTTTCCGTTCTCTGTCAGTGTCGGCTGATACCGACCATCCCCAAACCAGTCAATATGCAATACACCCGTAACGATGCCAAGATCTATCCCATCGTGAGTCGAGTCCGTTCCTCAGGCTAGCATCTGCACGCTCGCGCCTTGCCGGCATCTCAACGCCGTACTACACTGTACAGTGTCTCAGTGAACGTTGCACTCGCCGTCTAGACCGCTATGACTCCTCTGGCCGTGATCAAGTTGAGTTAGTTCCTTCCAAATTAGTGGTCGCTTGTAGCTGACGGCTTTACACCTGCTGGTTGGACGGAGCTTCGTGGGTCCGTAACTGACTCGGGACTCTTGTCAACCTCGAAGGGCCGAAACATGATTGGCACGCTACAGTAATGTGCACCCTGTTCGTCTGTTCGTCAAATCATCCATCTATTGGTGCGCCCTTTTTTCGTTGCTCTAGTGTGTGAATCGCTGAAACTTCCCACTGCAGCTCAGGCATGCATCGCTAACATTGGTCAATCACTGCCGGCGTCAGCAATTCCCGGTTGATGCATCCCCTGTTCCAACCCGGGGGATGTGATTATGGCATTAATCATACCCTTTCAGCCTCGGCAGGTGCAGGATCGGTTTCAAGGTATGTTCCTGGAATCTCGTATATTCTGCCGATAGGGACGGAACAGGAGCCTAGCGCATTGCCTCCGAGTCGGACAGTGATCAAGAACAAGACATCGAGACATATTTGTAAAATCCGATTATCATATTCCATGTACGTTCACCCTGGTCATGACACATCGACTTTTACCCTTTTCACTCTAATTTCTGGTAGTGGCTGACAATACTATCGCGATTGTGAGAATGGCTGTACGTTCCCGAGGTGAACCTTCGTGGCTCCGTTGGTATCTCGGAGTTATCCTCACAACTCACTATAGCATCGTCTGGCTACTATGGCCGCACCTGCACGTAAACGTCGGCGTCGCGCCGCAGATGTACAGTTCTACAGACTCGAGGCCACTGAGCCCGAGCCAGTTCACCGCCATGTCTCCGTCGCCTCTTCAGCCGCCTCTGTCTCGGTGAGGGCCACCGCAGTAACTGCTGCAAACCCAACGCCCCGGAACGCGCCCGAAGCCGTCGACAGTAGTTCCGCACCAGGAGACCCAACCGAGAGTCCTTCAGATGAGCCACTGGACTTCAATGACGGCGAGGCTTTCGAGACTCTACCGGCAGAGTTCTTCCACGATATCGCTGACATGATGGAGTTCGTGGACAAGCAGCGCAAGCGCACAGCCAGCGTGAGTACTCTTATCTGGTCGGTATTGCATGCTGACATAGCCATAGGACAATCCTCTTGAGGACTGGCGGCGACACGACATCGACGAGTGGCTCTCGGAACTCCTGCGTCTTGAAGGTCGATGCGGCTTCACCGACGGATCTTGTGCCAGTTGCTGGAATGCTCCAGGAGACTACCGCTGTGAGGACTGCGAAGACCTACATTTATACTGCAGGACGTGCACCCTCAAGCGACATCAACGGAACCCTTTCCATCGTCTGAGGGTGAGTTGCAATTGTTTGCCTCCTGAAGAGCGAGCCGTGCTAATCCTCGTTCGTTATCAATCAGGTTTGGTCCGGAACTCGTTTCACCAGGACAACGCTCAAGGAAGCAGGGCTCCGTATACAACTCGGGCACCCGGTCGGCGAACAGTGCAACAATCCGGTCAAGTCATTTGCGGGCGACTTCGTCATACTAGACTTGTCTGGTGTGAATGAGGTCGCGGTCGATTACTGTGGCTGTGAAACTGCGCAAGCCAAATCAATTCAGTTGCTTCGCGCGCGGCTCCTTCCAGCCACGGGCATCGATCCAAAAACAGCAGCGACGTTTCGCCTCATGGAGTATTACCACCTTCTGCATAGCCAGTCAAAGGTCTCCGGCTTCGAGTTCTACAATACGCTTGCTCGTCGAACTGACAACACAGGGACACATGATGTGAAGGTGCCGTGCATAGCCGCCTTTATACATGTCGCCACACTCACGAAATTCTCAACAGTCTAGATACCCGAGCTTCATGCGAATGTCGCGCGTATGGATGCACTTGAAGCTACTGAAGCGATTCGGCCGTGGTCACGACCCACTAGGAGCAAAGGGGACAGCTCCTGGTTCGTGCGCGGTGCTCTGTCCCGCATGCCCGCAACCTGGCAAGAACCTGCCGGATGACTGGGAGACTGCGCCTTCACAACGAAGGTTTTTTCTCTCACGAGCTGCCCGATAGTATCAATTGCTAATCTCTCGTCATCAGTTGGCTGTACCGGTTGTTTCTCGGGATAGACGCCAACTTCCGCTTGAAGCGGAAGAAGGTCTCGTCTGATGCTGCGGACCCGGGCTTCAACAACGGTATCGCATACTTCGTGGAAGAGAAGGCTTACAAGGAGCACCTGGAGAAGCACGGAAAGCTGGACATAGAAGACTCGAATACATGCAACAACCACGACGCGGTCAAGCTCGCTAATATGCGTGGAAGTCACGGTACGGCCGCAAGCGGTGTGGCTACGGTCGAGTGCACGCGCCATGACATCAGGAAAACCCTCCCCCCGGAATTCGTGGTAATGATCTAAAATGTTCAAGAATAAGCGGAACACCGCCGAACACTCAATAATATCTTGTCATTACGGATCCAAAGATCGCACCACTCGTATTCGCGAGTATTACTACGAAACTTGTACTCGTTTCTCGCACAACCAGTAACTTTCATATATTCGTCCCACTGGGTACATGATGACTTCGAAATTACGGACTACGTTACAAGGTCGGAACCATATCATCCACCGCACCACGCCCTCGGGAGGTCGTACATGCTGAGCTTGGCGGCGGGAAAAAAATCCTCGTGCAGTCATACAATTTATGCACACAATATGCACATGACAGCCGGGCGGGTAATGGCGGGCGAGTGAGCGAGAGGGTAACAAAGTGAGCGAACAACGAAGAGGGCAAGCAATCAAACAAGTGAATGGACAGACAAATAGGTAAGTGAATGAGCCGATCTTGCCGGTAATGTCAACGGTGCTCGTCATGACAGACAGTGTCGAACGAGATTATCTTCAGCACAAGATGTGCACTTCTGGAGGACATGAAAGGAAGCCGTGGACGCGTCCGCGGCGGTGATCTGCACGGACTTCACGGTAGTGGAGGTGCGGTCGAGCTCAGGGAGGCCGTAGAACTGCGCGGTGATCGGCATCCTATCAACACTCTTGGCCACGCTCGTCGCTGGTTGGCGGGCGGGCTGCGTGAGAAGGGGGTGGTGTGAGGAAATGACGACTTACGGGTCTTCGTACATGGTGCCCTCAGCTTGCCCTGAAAGAGGCTGAGCATGGCACCGACAAGCGTCTGTCGGTGCTCGTTGATGGCGCCACCTGGCGCGACGTCGACGGACCAGTTGATGATGATGTAGTGGTTAGGTGGGGTCGACTCGGACATAAGGGGGTGCTGCGTGGCACGGCTGCTGTGGGGTCTTGACGGAGCGCGCGATGAACGAAAGATTCAAAGAATGAGTCGACTGTCGCTGGCCAGTACTCCTCGGCGGACAGTCAAGAGCTGTCAAGAGACGGTAAACCTCAGATGGCACAAGGGCGGGTATGTCTGCCCTGAACGAGATCTGGATCAAATCACATGCTCACATCGCCACGTCGGCGACGTCGCATGACTCCCTCCACACAGTCACTCATCTCCCTTTCCCTGCCGTTACGCTCGAGGTAAACGACTCATCAACATCAACAATGCAAACGAGCACGAACATGATGGATATCGGCGACCTCTCGAGCGTGCTGAACACGGAGAAGCTCTGCGGGTACAACATCCATAGTGTCCGTACTGCGTTGCCCGGCTGCGTATGCATCCACGAGGTGCGTGCCTCTCTGTGGGGTCCAAAACTCAAGCCACACGGGCCCTGCGCAGGCTCTAAGAGATTCCAAATCAACCTCGACTCGGATGACACCGAAGACGCAATGACACCGAAGACACCGAAGTCCTCAGTCACGTCGTCGCCGCGATCCAGTTCATTGAGGCTGAGCACAGTGAGAAGGGAAGGGCCGGTGAGTAGCTATCGCCCGCTCACTGTTCCCCTCTTGCTACCTCACGCGTTTAAGCGTCTGCCTACTCACTCGCACACTCACTGGCCCGCTCTCATCCGCCCACTCGCTGGCCCACTCTCGTCTGCCCAGACTCGCCTTCTCACTACCCCGCTTGCCCATCCGCTCTTGTTCGCCTGCACGCTTATCCTCCTGCCAGCTCGCTCATCTGCCGACCTGTCGTTCTTGTGCGTGCGTCCGCTGGCAACTTCAAGTTCTCGCCCACCTGCCCTCTCTCGCCTGCCTGCGTGCTCGCCTGAGTACCTGCCCGCCAGTGCCTCCTTTTGCCTGCACCGCCTCTCGCCTGCGCCGTCTCTCGCCCGCACTGTCTCTTGCCTGCGCCCAATCTTGCCCGCGCTCTCTCTCGCCTGCGCTCTCTCTCGCCTGCGCCGTCTCTCGCCCACGCTCTCTCTCGCCTGCGCCGTCTCTCGCCCGCGCTCTCTCAGAGTCTCTCTTGCCCGCGCTCTCTCTCACCCGCGCTGAATCTTGCCCAAGCTCCCTTTCGCCCGCGCTCTCTCTCGCCTGCGCTGTCTCTTGCCCGCGCCCAATCTTGCCCGTGCTCTCTCTCGCCCACGCACTTGTCCACCCACCCGCTCGCGCTTCTGCTACGGCCATCCACTAGCTCGCATACCCGCGCTTTCTCTCGCCTATACAAGCAGTGTTGGCTGGAGCCATGTACATGATGGATAGGTATTGATCTCGAGTGGCTCACAAGTAATATACATTAGACGTAGTTTGCCAGTGCTCGGAGTAGTAGTACTAGTACCGGCTGTATTGTCCTCGACGACAGTACATTATAATGCATCCCCATTTTTTCTCATACCTATGTGTTCAGTGCTGAATGTGCTGCGAACAATAAGAGAATAAATGAATCATCTGTATAATATTGTGGAACTCTGGCCCGAACATGGCTGCATTCCTCGTAATATCGTGTTATTCATGTTTGACTTCTCGACCATAGCGAATATACTGCTACTACAGCGAACACACGAATGGCTACAATTACTTGTCTTTCGCGGTAATAATACAACATTCTTTGTTATTGCCAAAAGAGGGTTTTCCTGATGGACATGAAGCGGCCATGCTCTGTTGGCGATCTACAGAAAGGCGAAAGGTACGTTGTTGCGATGTCAAGGCGGGGTGACATTGCTGAAGTCGAGCAGATATGTCAACATGGATTACCTTTTCGCCAGTAGCATTCGACAGAGCCTCCCTTCAGCAGCGAACGACTCCACGCTCACACGAAGCGGCAACGTCCGTCTCGTTGTCTCGTACGACATCGCATGTCAGTGGAGTGTTAACCTGTGGGGCAGGATGCTTCATTACGACCCCAGTGGGACTTCGACAAGCGCACCATAACGTTTTGATACCTAAGTTCCACTTACCAGCGCACCAAGACAGCTGTCAAACCGGTTTCTCCTTCAACTACACCAAAGGCGTAGGACGTACCGATGGTGAAGCCGTCGAACGTGGCTGGGCCGCAGTCAATGGGTTTTCGGGCAGCACGAAGGAGATGGGTCCAGGGTCTCGCCGTGACGTCCTCGACGACGCTTTCGGTGACTACAACTGGCGAAAGGTCACGCACCTCGGTATGTCTACCCTGCTCATAAGTTCATCATGTCTGATTGTTCGATAGCCAAGACACTCCTCGGCCGCGTGAAGAATGCCGTGGAAGAGTGCAGCAAACACGCTGTCATCTTCGACGAACTCACCGCCGTCACGGATCCAACACGGGTGGCCGAATGGAAGCAGCAAGTCGAAGCCTGGGAAGAGGGTGCAGATCTCAACCCCTTCGTAGTGACACGTCATCGTGAGTGCCGTCTCTCTCTTTTTTCGGTCACATTGACTGAAATCATAACCAATTGCATGCAGCAGTCACACTTGCAGCAGTCCGGCGTGAGCTAGCTGAAGAGGAATCCACGGGTATAGCCGACGGAAGCCTCGTGCTTCTACATGAGAAGATAACACCAAGCATCCTCATCACGGCAGGACTCGAGATGGAGGAGGCTCAGTACGTCGTCCCATGTTGTCTACTAATACAGGCTCATCTTACACTGGGCTCATATGTGGTTTAGACGACGTCTACAATCCGATGCCGCAGGATTGACCGCCCACTCCCCGGATGATCAGCGCGCGAGCATCATCCGTCGACGCAATAATCTCCAAGTTCGTATTGATGCCTGGCGAGAAACACAAGACGTCTACATGCCGGGTGTAGCTGCAGTACGAAGTCGAGCTGCGGAGGCTTCAGCTGCTCCGGTTCTTGCCGAGAACATTCGACTCTACCTCCCATCTGCTGTTCTGGGTGATAGTCGCGTGATGCTTCCCTCGAGTTTGCTCGAGATCGAAAGACGCCTGCGTTTCGCGCAGGCCAATGACTCGCTAGAGCAACTGCGGCGCCATCTTCGTGCCCGCACAAAGCTATTCAACATCAAAGATCGAGACGTTAGGGGCCAACGCTACAATACAAGATCCCGCGCATACATCGACTCCGTCCAAGCGAAGATCGACGCCGACGCCGAACGCTATCGCGCAGCTCACGCGGCTCTCCTCATCATAGACCCCGGAGACGTCGCAAAGTGGCAGAAGGTCCTTAAGCCTCTGCTCCGAACCGATGTTCGTGCGATGCATCAAGGGCTTGACGATGAGACCGAGGGACGCAAGACTCTCTCGTGGATTTGGCGGACAAGCGGGGCCTCAGGGAGTGTGGATGATGAGGATGACCAGGAAGGTAAGATTTCCTCGCATTTGATATTGAAGCGGAGTATGATATCGACCCTTACAGCCGTACGAATTGAGTGGTGCAAGGCTCGCGCGAGGGCCATGCGCTGGGACGAGGAATGCCAACTTCTCAGCGAAGAGATGCGGCGTGTCCTCGCCTTTTTTAAATGGCACATTCAATGGTGGCTGCATCATGCCGGAAGACAGGTCTGGGAAGCACCTGTAGGGAATACGACGGAGCATGCTGAAGGTCGTCGGGCCTATGCACGTCGGCAGGCGGATGTCCGGCAGGCGCTGCATGACTACTGCGTCGGTGCTTGGTGTTCTGTTCCTGAGTACCTTCTCCTTAGAACTACAGTAGAATCGTGATGAGTAATGACCGTCTGCCCGGCGTGGTGGCCCTCCGTACACATGTGTATGACTTATACTAGAGCTTACGACTTATAGGCAATCGACAATTTGCATGCATTAGTCACAGCCTTCATTTATAAGACAACGGAGTGTTCATACATAAGACAACAGAGCGTTCATACATCAGACGACAGAGCACTCATATATCAGACAGCAGGGCACTCGTATATAAAACGACAGAGCCTTCATACATGAGACGACAGATCCTGCGTACGTACGTCGATAGGGCTGTGATACATAAGCCATCTGAGCCTTGATGTATCAAGCCAGAGGCGAGTCTCTTTGTACATCAGCAAGTGGGTTGATACATGACATTGAGCGGCAACGAGTGAATTGAATGCGACATCATACGATAGTTACAGGGTTCTCTGTCATGCTCCGAAATGTCCCGCTTTCACTACAGTATTGATAACCTTGCCCGACGCGCGCAGTCGTAGGTGGGAGGTCGATGAGGCGCGGACGTGAGATACAGGTCGACAGCGGATGATGTGCTAGACAGATATCAATTCTAACATAAATAACATTGCACGACGAGAGAGAGTACGAAACTCACAAATTTGATCAGTACTCACGACGCTTGATCCGAAGTCGCGAGGCGGACAAGCAGAGGGCACTAAAGAGCGCGTAGGCAATACACGCAACACCTATGAGCACACCAGTAACCATGCTGTACTGCACGGGACAGTACTGATGAGCCGAGGCATCATTGTAAGCCTAATAATGAAACTAATCAGACCCGAGGGCGAGTGAGCGTGGCAAACACCGCTTACCGAGACCCTACTAACTCACTGCGGGAACTTGTTCTCTGCGAGTGCAAAGACCCAGAAATGAGGAGAGGGCGGTAGACAGGGTCGAGAGCAACGTACATCAATGGGCAACAGTACACGGGGCCAGTAAGTGACTGTCACAACGTCGTAGAGGACTTTTGAGAGGAGGAGAAAGCACCAGAAGAGCACTGAAGTCCAGGGAACGAGAGATCAAGCTAGTATCGGGGGCGAAAAAAGGGAGCTGTGTACTGTGATGGTGGAGGAGGAGGACGAAGAAGTAAGGTTTGCACAACCGCCGCATTGGGGCAAAGCAAGCGCCGGCGCTGCGTGAGTGGTCATACCGTCCCTATATGGCTACCACGCAGCTGCGCGAAGCGCCTAGTACCGTCCCTGCCGCCTAGGCGCTTCGCTCCACTACGCCCACTCGGCGAGAGCCGTACTTGGTGCACTGTGCCTACTGTGCACCCTGGACGGTGGTCTCGCATAGATGAGCGAGCTCGATCATCTGTGGAAGGCGCCAACCAGGCAGGAGCGTCGCTGACGCTGCGCGCCGCCCGCCGCCCGAAAAGGCTGCATCGCATCGCGCTCTCGTCCGAGCGCCCGCCGCCCGAGTGCCGCCAACGCCGCCCGAAAAGGTTGCATCGCACTCCCGTCCGAGCGCCCGCCCGGGTCCGTGAGGTCTCACCGGTCTACAGGCCGGGTGCTGTTTAAGGGAGACCGTAAGAGGCAGCTTACATAAGGGGATCCCGCCCATGTATCAGGGCACAAAGGGTATACAGCTTGATGTATCAGAGTGTAGCGGATTCATGTATGAGGCTACCGTATTCGGGCAGCCAGTGAACCACAGTGTTCATGTATCAGATGTGTACTACAAGGACAATACTTTATGTATCAGTCTGCCAGCTACAGGTGTAAAGACAAGGTCCGCGCTGGAGAGGAAGTGACAAGTGCACGCGCAATGACACACGATACCATGCGCCAGCTCTGGGAATTCAATCGTAACTTCCCAAAGACTAGCAGAGTGGAGCCGACAACCCGAAAGCGCAAAGCTGAGCATCCCGAAGATTGGGCGGGCTATCGTGTGCGTCAGATGTTACAGCTCCTGTACACAATCTCGATGCTCTGTCTGCTCCGATTCAACGAAGCTTTGAGGATCATGTGGTCAGATCTCGAGATGCTCAAGGACGACAATGGTGCACGCTATGTGAAGCTCAGTCTACCCTTCCGAAAGACAGCACAGTATGGAGGTGAGTCATGGCTTCTACGGGCAGTGCCGCCGCCGATGCCAATAGTAAGCCTGAGGCAAGCTAATACAATCATCTTATTGAAGGGATCACTCCATTTTACCTCTATCGCGACACTGAGCGGCCACATATGTGTGTCGTTACCGCGGTTGCCAAATGGTGGAATATATGTCAAGAGATGCAGATCGACACGTCGGGTTACGTGTTCTGTAAACGGGTTGGACGAGACGGGGTCAGCACGAGAGGCGCAGATGCTATGGTATGTTGTCAGTGAACTCGTATTCGATGTTGTTGCTCAGCTTAGTTAACGTTGCTGCAGTCCAGCGACAACTTTGTAGAATGCCTCCGCAACAACCTGCTCGACATCGTAATCGACCCGCGTCCTTATGGGACTCATTCGTTCCGTCGAGGTGGATGCCAGTACCTTGCAATGACCATGCGGTGGCCGATTCGTCAAATCTGCACTTGGGGAGGTTGGGCTGAAAATTTCGACAACTCGGGCACGATTTTCAAGTACTTGGTGTCCTGGGTAGATGCTCCGCTACTCGAAAGAAAGGACTACTTCAACCCAATGCGGGCTCAAAGTGATCCATGTAGTCAGTGTGGACGAACATGTTCATGTGCGTAGAATAGATAGATATAATTTACGACCAATAAACATACAATGTTACGAAAGTACTGTCAAGCATCCTCGTCACTCGAGATCTCAATCACACTTTGATACCGGGTACCAGACGCGCGAACCATCACCACGGCTTCCCCCTCGCTGAGAGTTAAGTCAATGATTTCGTCGTGGACACCATTAATAGTCCCGTGAAGTTGTTGTTCTGCTGCCAGTGGAGCTGCTTGTGAGAGACTCGTCTCACCCCTGGACGAAGCTTTCACATCAACTCCCCCACACACCATCAACTGAGAGTGTCGTTGGAGTGCACTGCCCATATACGGTGAGTCCGTGATTTGAAGTAGCGCCGAAGGGAATTACTGACGTTTTTGAAGACGGCACGGCTTCCGAGCAGTGCTGGTATACCGAGTCTTGCATACTCACCAACAGCGGGTCGCCGAGCAAGCCTAAATAGCATGAGACTGTGAGCCAAGAGCTGCACGACAGGCCTGAGTGCTAACCGTGTAATGCTATGTCACGCGGCGCGCCTGAGACGAGTGTATCGTGTGAGAACCTGGCCCTCCAATGACGAAACAATGCATCTAACTCACTTGTATCCGGCGTCCTCCTGGACGACCCTATGGCACTGCGATGAGTTCCTGTAGGCCTTGTCGAGGTAGGCTTGCTCCTTGAGTGTCGTGTCGAATGCTTCAATGCCCTACCACACTGATCAGGCAACTCGAGCATAGCGGAAGGTTCTGCTACTCACCTTGACCCCGATTGTTCTAGTACTGACCGTACACCTCGTTGTGATTTGCAAAAGGTGCTCCGAGATGATCCTGATAGACCAAGTATCAGTAACTATGTACGAAACAAATGATTTGACGCACCGTAAATCTCACCAGCATGCCGAACAATGGATGGATGTACCGGGACACGGGCTGAGAAGGCAATGACAGCGGTGGTCTTGGAATTGCCAGGTGTGGATCGAAGGTTGCACAATGCTGATGTAGCGAGCGAGGCGAAGCCCGCATCGGATACTGTGAAGTGTGTGGGCAGGGCCTTCGAAGATCCCCGTCGGTTATGCTCGATGCGTATCAAGGGGCCTAAGGGATCCTGTAGGCACTGCCATTATGTGTCACGTCTGCATTCAGCGAAAGAACTACATACCACAAACGGATCCCTCGCGGAGTGTAGCCTATCACGGTTGATCGCGAGGTTGATGAGGACTCGAGTTAGAATGCCTGGGATGAGACAACTGCCAAAGCGATCCACGATGCCTGATGCCGTCCCCCACGAGAAGTAACGCTCGCAAAGACGACCTAGTTCGGCGATATCGGGCGGGTGGGGCATACTCATTTCGTAGTCTTCGAATGCAGACGTCACAGGCCGGGCGTACAGATCGACGATGTCGAGGTCAGGGAACGTGTCAGGGATCCGCTTTGAAAGCTCGGGATACCGGCGGCCAAGAAGCTTCTGATCGTCAGTACATAACGCATGTCGGAGATCGCTGCGCCAGCCAGACAAGAACACTCTGAGTGTTTCACCCTCGAGCTCACGAACCGCCTTGCATAACGTATCCCCGAAGCCATAGCGTGCTAGGCCATGGGCAACGCGCTGTCCAAAGCCTGGCAACCCATCCTGCACGAGATCAATGTTTGGACGCAGTTCGATCGGATATTACTCTACATACCTTATTGTAGTCCCCGCCCGCGAATAACGCAATAAGAATCATGCCCCAGCGCCCAAGAGCGACGGCATCATGCGTCCAGACGGCGTCGGCTTCGGTGATGATTAGCTGTTGCGCTTTAGCATTGAAACTGTGTGCCACTGATCAGTATCATCATGGAGGTACTTCAGTCGAAGGAATGCTCACTTTCGTATAACGGTTTGTGCCCCAAAAAGGAATGCGTCGCCATCATCTGTCAGGACACCATCGACAAAACCGAGCTGATTGAGAGCAGCCAGCTCTGCTTCCGCCTCTCCGGGAGCCTAGACCACACGTATTGAACAGATTGTACTAGCACTCGACAGTCTACTCACAGTGCAGTATTCATATCCAAAGGCGTCGATGAAGTTCTTCATCGCATCAACCATCCAATGGCCCATCTTGACCACCCGTTTGCCTCGCTTTATTGCAGGCCGCTCCGGGCCATCAAATACGAAGATCGCATGGATGGGTAGCCGGAGAAGTCGTGCCAACCAAAAGAATAGTGTGCGAAGCTCGGGGTTCTCACCCGACTGTGCATGCCCGACAGCAAACGTAGATTGTACTTGATGGAACCAGAGGCTTGCAGCGAGTAAGACGACATTCAACGAGAATTATATGCAGTGACGTACCTAGCATCTATACCCAGTCGATACACCCGTCCACAGTGCGGTCGCTCAAATCCTGCACGGATGAAATAGTCTTGGATGCCTTCTGTCGTTGATGCTGGCTTCAATACCTAGAGGTACCATTGTTCGTGTCTCTGTAACAACGAAACAGACAGCACGACTTACCTCCCACAGGCCATGAACTCCCATCCTCTCGCAGTTCCTGTACCCCAAGGGCCTGCAGATATTTGTCATGGCTCGCCGATATGCTCGTTGTGCCCAGACGTACCCACAATGAATAAATATTGTCTTGCAGGACGGGCAAGACGGTCGACTCCGGTGCGGGCGGGCTCGTCAGTGGCGAGTTCGCGAGCACCTTGAAGGGCGAGTAGAATGCGCGGACGGCGGCGAGAGGGTCTGCAGATCTTTGTCAGGACTCGTCGATATGCTTGTCGTGCCACAATAGATGCACCTAGCAAGGTACCTTTTCCCGACAATATTGTCCAAATAACATACTTTGCCCCCCACTCCTCGTCCACTAATATTGTCCACATCCTTCCATTGCTAGCTCCTGGGGCCCCGACAGGGAGCCTACGAGTTACCCAAATATATAGTGTAATTTGTAGCGCGAGACGTATCCCGCCTTTTAGTGCGCACCTTACCCCGATCCCTAGTGCGCGGGTTAGCGCCGACAGTTAGCACATGCCATAGTGGACGGTGTAGTGCCGAACATAGTGGTGTATTTAGCACGACTTCTAATACAAAATGTAGTACGCAGTGTAGTCCATAAAGATATCATGCCACTGCATCCGGTGCAGTGGTCATTGGGTCCACATGCTCTGACTCGGGAAACCTCGCTCGCGCTTCAGTAAGCAGCCGAGAGTACATGGCTGCCTGCCTAGGGGTGGCCCCGTGAATCGTCGCAGCAGTGAGTAAAATGAGTCACATACCTTGCCGCATATGCTGCTGCACCACGCTCGCTGATGGTCATACACAGCTGCTTGGCGCGCTTGTCCCACGTCTCCTTCGAGTGCTGAAAGAATCGTTGCACTCGCTGCATCTCCGCCTTCACGAGTGCGACTTCTTCCGTCCATCTCGATACACGTGCACTCGCCCGGAACCACTCGATGCGCGCCGCTGCATGAAGAACGTCAGTGTGCATTCGACAGGTACTATTGCAGAGAGTCACCTTCTAGTGCCCACTTGTCCAATGCTCCGGCGCCGTGGTATGTGTTGTCCCGCCAAAGCCATGTCACACGCTCATTTCGGCGACCTGTGTTCTCATCGGCAATGACTGGCGGGCGACACTGCTGCTCCGTCAGAGGTTCCAATGAGCAAGGATCCTCCGCCGAGGCCAGTCGAACGACCCTTGTTCTGGTGAATTCGTACTCCTGTCGTAGCGACTGGATTTTCGCCCTCTCGGTCTCCTTCAACTTCGCGTACCTTGTGTGGGCTTGCTGACCATACGAGCCCGCGTTTTGGGCACGAAAGAACGCTTCGAAATGAAGCTTTTGTCGGATTTTCTTTAGGAGGTCTTCGGCATGAGCCACGCGGAGGCGCCGCTCAGCCGACACGAAACGTCGGAAGAGGGCGTGCTTGCGAACGGGTTGGGGGTATGCGGAGGGAACCAGCAGAATGACATCTTCTGCATCCACAATAGTGCGACTTGGCCACTCGCAGTGGCGGAGTTCCTCCTCCAGGATGAGCAATGTCGCGCCCATCACTTGGGCTTGCCACATCAGCCAATCTTGCTGCTTGGTATGGAGCTTGTCCCGTTCGTTGTCGATCTCGTTGTACATCTCGGATGACGGCTCCTTCTCGTATTCTCGCACCTTCCTCTTTAAGGTTTCCCTGTTCTCGGCTGTCACCTATCCATAGACACCCAGGTGTCGTGTTCACTCACTGTAGATGTTCCAGTGCGATCGCGTCCAAGAGAAGGTCGCCCAGACCTCGCCTGCGAACTGTCACTCCCCCTGCCTCGTCTTCCATACCCGCCGCCTTCCGCTTCACCCCTCGTCTATCCATCTCGGCGTCGCGCTCGGCTGCGTCCTCTTCCTTGAGTCGTGCGATAATGTCTTGGGTCGATGGTGCTAAACCCGTTGAGCTCAGGGCCCGTTCAACTCAACAACGCGACTCACCTTCATCGACAGCTACCTGGTATGGGATTTTGATCCTGTGACGATCAATTCTTGGATCGGTGATTTGAACGATGTACTCGGCTTCAGCGGCTTTCCACTCAGCAAGCGGACGATTATTTAATGTCAGCGTGGTCTCCAGGTCGTCTAGTTCTGTCTGGTGGTCACTGAGGTTTGTTAGTGCGTCCTTGAGCTTCGTCTCCAAATGCCGAGCTAGAATGGCGTCAATGATCGCCATACTACGGTCCGGGAATGCACTCACATATCTTGAATGTCTTCTGCGCATTGAAGTCGGAGTTGTGGGCATCAATAACATCTTGCCGATGCCCCGGGCCCATTTCGCGAACGGATCGACCAATGGCGTTCATGGCAGCCCAACGCCTCTCGACCGCCTCGCCGTCCGTGTTTCCGACGCCAGGGGTGTAGTAGAATGAGAAGAGGAAGCGGCACAGACCCGTGTGAGATGGTAGATGCCATTTGGGACGCAGCGTAGAATGATCGGCCACGCCTCCTGCGGAAGTGAGACGCCAGGGACTTGGGGTAGGATGGAAGCGATCTTCTTGAGGCGATCCCACCACTTGATACCGTACTTACAGTTCACATCATAGGACCCAATGATCAAGCGTAAAGAATGGTACCACCGAAGGCCAGAGAGCGTCGCATAATCAACGTTCGCGTAACGTTCGCCGATGTGCAGGTCGACCGTGCCACAGGGAATAACGAAGCCGTGACGAGTGCAGGATAAAGCTACTTGTCCCGTCTTGATTTTGCCTTTGTAACGTTCGGAGAGGGCGTTGAAATTGCTACAGGTCGTTGTTTCTTCTTGAACATCTTCGTAGACTTTGGTTTTGTTGAGAAACTCGCCGTACTCGTCAGAGTCTACATAGTACTGCGCGCCGTTCGTCAGAGGGAAGTCGTCGTGATCCATTTGCTTGTCGTGCTGACTCAGGTGAAAATTTCCGTCCTTTGCGTAGTGCAGCGCGTCCCTGTATCGCTCGGTTTGTGGGCGTTCCTCCCAAAGAGGGTCCAAGTTGACGCCCGGTTGTGGACACGCTGGACAGCGCACCGCCAGGCAACCGGGGTCGAGCTTGCGTCTGACATCCACACCGAAGCGTTTGAGGGTATGGATGTAATGGAATTGGCGATGCGCTGTCATGAACTCGCGGTAACGGTCCTGTTGGATCAAAGTCAGCGGATTATAAAGCGGTGCTGAATACGCACATACCTTCACATCGTCAAAGAAGGCGTTTGAGGTGAGTCTCCGTAGCGTCCCTATGAAGTCGTGGGCGGATGTCTTGGCCTGGCACGTCAACTGCGTGAAGGTGCGAAGTACATGGCGGGTAAACACGGTCTTGGGCCGAGAGAACGATGCCGGCCACAGCGCCGCATCCCACAGCTGCAGAGGTCGTGCCATTTGTTTGTGACCATCCTTGAGACAATGGCAGTACTGCACGGTCAACGTGCATATGCCTGTCGTGTGCACGACGGTCAGCTGGCTCGGAGGTTCGTCGAAGGTCGTAGGACACGCTTCCCCATAGTGGCCCAGCGCGAAGACAGCCCGAGATCCGAGAGCTGAGTGCGTTCGAAGAAGGAGCCGTTCCATCGCTCCACTCGGTGGAGAGGGTTCCATTTGTGGCCGGCGACGATGCACTCACGACAAAAGATGGGGCTGTTGAAACAGTCCGTGCAGCGGAAGAGCGCGTCGTGGACGTGGCACTCGTAACAAGGCTTGCCAACGGTCGGGTCGGTCTCGTGGCTCCGGAAGATGTCGAGCAGTTTCTGCGCCCAGTGGTTCAGGAAGGTTGTCGTCACTGAATGAACAGTCTGCTTCATTCGTCAGTGACACGGTCGGAACAAGGTGAGTATCTCTTTACCTTCGCAGGCTTCTTCGGCTCCTCTTCAGCGGCGGGGGTGTCCTGACCCACAGGATCTTCCGGTAGGTCGTGAATCGTGGTGTCGGCGTCGTTGCCTGCGGCGTATGCAAGAAGGGAGGGAAGGGGCGCGTCTGTCGGGTGTGTATTGGCAGTGGCGCGCTTCTCGAAACGCAGGCCTGGCGACAGGTACTCGACTTTCTCCTTCCCTTCTCCAGTAATCCAAACCGTCTCCGGCCCATCAGGTATCGACTGGCCCCCGTCATCCGCGTATACGTAGGGCGTGGCCTTCTTACGTTTGGCTTTCGGCATTGGGGTGGGCAGGAGACGGTATAGGGAATGTGGCGCGGTGTAGGAAGACAGTGACCCGGGACGAAGTACCAGCCACCCGAGACCAGGTTGTCGACGGTCAAAGCACACAGGGGTGGCACACGCGTTACCAACACAACGCGCGAGTGCATTGGAGGCGAATGATCGCGCACGGTCAAAGCGCGAGTTGCAGCGGCACATTGGTTACGCCAATGTGCGATTATAGAGTCATATCGCATACACCGACAATCAGAGGTAATCGCGCTACGACGTCCTTCTGACATACGAACAGCGGGAGACAGCGAGCTTTAGCATCCCGCAACTACTACGTTACATTCATCAGTGCACGATCCGGACATTCCTCGCATGACGTAGCAATCACCAGTAGGTAGAGAAAGGGATATGGCTAGACACAGAAAAATCGTTAACACGAGTGACATGCTTATGAGCATGGATGTACCTTAGATTCAATTTGTATGAGGCGAGGAGTCAAAGGGCGCCGGTATCACCAGACGACCGCAGAGAAAGTAGCTGGAGTGTGCGTGTTAGCAAATCAACGGACTGGTGGAAACGGTGTTCATCCACAAGAGACGTACACATGGACGAATCAGGGCGATTTATGCGTCACTCGGGGAATATTCCAATCCTGAGCGTAGTCTGGCGACAAGGGATCTGGACTGGGAGTTGGCATAAGGGCATGCGCGGAGTTGAACGCACTCACGGTAGCATCGCATGTATGGTATTGCTCGGATGGACGATACGCTAGTCATGGACGCGCGCGAGATACTTATGTAGCTGTTATATACTTAGACAGATCAATGAAAGCGATGGTGGGCTCGCGCACCGTGGTACCGATATACACCTTCTGAGTAGTGTTCTCCGCACTCCTGGAAGTTGCAGCCCAAACCTGCCGCATCCGGGATGATAGAGGGAGCGCAATATTGATGAGGGCCGCTCTACTGCTCGTCAAGAACAGGAGCTTCCCGCCCGGTCACGACACATGGTCGAAACCAAGACGGACGACCGGGCTCTTGAGCAATGAAGGCGTCGAAGGCTGGACGGTTGTAGTCCTGACGGAGGCTGTAGTCGAAGGGATGGAGGCTGCCGGTTGACGATCACAATGAGCAAGAGAGAGCAGTGGGGCGGATACGGTGTTGTAGGCGGGACGAGCAGGGTGGCTCAACTGCTCGTCAAGAGCAGGAGCTTCCCGCCCGGTCATCGACGCATGGTCGAAACCAAAGCGGATGACCGGGAAGACGCCAGACGGTTGTAGCCTAGGAACGACCAGAAGTTGTCGACGAAGGATATGTCGGCGGGGTGGAGACTGGGTACTGAGTACTGAGCGCTGAGCGTGCGAGTGAGAGTTGTGGGTCAGGCGCCCGTGGACATGTCTCCGCTGCGAAGTCCGAACTCCTTCTCCTTCAGTCACTCTGGCGCTCTCGTCGTGGACCTCTCCGCTACTTCAACCATTCCTATTGCCTGTGTCTTGCTCTGTATTCCCTCTTCGACACAGTGATCTGCGTCACAGGTTAGATTTCGATCTTCCTGCGCGACACTGGCCAGGGCGCGGCGTGTCTGCTGCCCCGGCACTTCTCTCCACAACTACACTACCACCTACTGGCGCTCTCGTCGCTCACCTCTCCGCTACTTCAACCATTCCTGTCATCTAGCCTCTTGCTCTGTCTTCCCCCTTCGACACAGTGATCTGCGTCACAGGTTAGATTGCGATCTTCCTGCGCGACACTGGCCAGGGCGCGGTGTATCTGCTGCCCGGGACTTCCCTCCGCAACTACACCTCCACCTATATCCGTCATCGCGTCCGAACGCACTAGGTCTTCAGGTATGTATGCTCACTAGGTTACCATTACCGTGCTACGCGTGCTCATTAGAGGATGTCTGATCCGTCGCGCTGCAGGCAGAGGTTGAGGCGAGCTCACCACGCGCGTGCACGTCTGATTGTATCCTCCGCATGTAAGTCACGATTGGCTCTCATGTCGACTTCTCCTACCTAAGCCTTGTACTCTTCAGCGTCATTTGCACACGATGGCGGACGCAAATCTCGACCGTCCTACAGGTACCACTGACTTCGTCCTGAGTGTGACGCCCCGCGAACGTACGTGATTTACGACGCTGACTCCGAACTTGGCTTACCGTCCTGGACGGCAGAATGGCGCCAGCCCCTTAAACCGACTGATGGGTTATGTGCCGCCGACGCCGGCGACAGCTGCAATATCATTACGACGCCATACGCCAACTGGATCCCGGAATTCCCGCGGATTTCGGGACGCAATATCATCACGTTCGAGGACGGCCTATGGGGCCCCCAAGAATATACTCGGTGGCCGCAACTGTACAACGCGACCTCCATACATCATGCGTGCATCCCAACTAGAGAGTCGGGCTGCCGGGCTCCAGGGGACCAGGTCTATGACGGGTTCGGATACTATGCTTGGGAAGAAGACAAGTCTTGCGGCGTATCCGCCTTCGGGTTCTTGAACGCGGACGTACTAGGAGAGCTGAGCGCCATTGCGACTCGAGTGATTGCTCAATACGATGACGCGGAACGCTCGGCACAGAATCGCGACCGGCTCGCATGGTTTGGACAGTCCTTGATGGATATACGACTGGGTACGGTTCTCTCCGTGCTATTAAGGAATGCGGTCGATCGGCTCAAAACGCTGCCTACTACTCGCCTACACGCCCTCGTCACCGGCCGCCTGGCGCACCGCCTCATCTTGGAGCTCTGCGGCCTCACTATCTATCACAACGAGGTCGCCCCGCGTATGGCAGACCCGAAGTCTCAACGTTACCGCGCCTTGCCAGTTCTCGGGGCCTTCGTGCGCTCGGTGCCTGCGGCCCAGCTTTTGCATCGCCTGGGGATACCCTTTTGGCTCATACAGCCGTGGACACGCGACGTCGTCATACAGAAGGTCGTGGAGCCCCGCATGTGGTCAGACACGCTCAACTCGAGCCCAGCGTGGCCCAGAGTCCCGAAGTCATGGTACGACCCCGACGGAACCCATCAGGATCCCGGCAAGTGGACGCAGCCATCGGTGTTGTTTATTAGCAACCTGGTGTGCTCGTCCGCGTTGCCGAAGCTACACGCTGTGGCTCGCACGGAGGGAGCCGAGCGAGAGGCGAAGCGTTGCAAGGGAGACGATGGCGCCTTTACCGTGATACCGAAGGCCCAGAACGTGGGCCCAGCTACGCACAACAGCAAGAAAAGGGGACACAAATCTCGGGGGAAGCGCTCTGGTGGAAAGCCGTCTGAGCCCCACCCAGCCACAACCTTCCAGCCACCCAGCCCTGACGTTGTCGAGCTGAGCCCGAGCTGGCGCACCGCTTTGACCGGGGTCTCTCCCTTGCCGTTTCCTCCCCCGGTCGCTCTCGAATACTATCTGCCGCCGCCTTTTGTGATCGACAACGCGAAGACGAACAAAGCCCGATACCTCCATAACTTTGCCCGGATATGGCAGTTCTGCAAGCTCCGACTCATTGACTCTTCGATCGACGGGGCGCCATTGCGAATCGCCGAGTGGCGCCACACCCTTTACGGAGATTATAACTGCGATGCCATCGAAGAACGTCAGCGGAAGAATACCAAGCAGGCCATCGGACCTCAATCTGATCGGTTGGGGAATGGTCTAGCCCTCGACCAAGGGCCGTCGAACAGAGACGCTCAGAGCGCTTCAACGGCAGGGCACCGCAAGCCGGAGTGGCATGTTGAACGACGGGAAGCTGTCCGCGCACTGTTTGCGAAGGGCGGAGGCTTGGTGTCCTACACAGACACACAATGTGCGATGTACCGAGGTGTCGAGGTGAGCCTTGACCGGGCAAAAACCGACGAGGAGTACCTTCGCCTCGTCATTTGGGAGCTTTACGAAGCCAATTGGCGCTGCGAACTCAGAGCGCTCGACAGCCGCCTGGTCGATTACTCGGGCGATGTGTTCCGCAAGTGGGAGCGCGAACAGGTCGTTTCTAGTGTCTGGCATACGCCATCCCAGCACTCCGCCGTTACGACGGTTGACGTAGGCGAGCCCGTGTATTGTTGGATCACCGCTGGTCAGGACGGCTGGCTGGGTCGTCGCGCAAACTTACGTGCCTTCGTGGACGTCATGAGTTTGTGGCCCAATTTCCCGGAGTCCTTACGGGCTGACAAGGACGCTATCGCGACGTGTGAGAAGACGCATGTCTTCGATGATATTGAGGTGCGAGCGATCCGGTTCTACGTACAGACCTTCACCGAACAGTTCCATCGCCTCCCCTGCCCACCTGTACGCCTCGTCACCACTCCGCTCCTGTCATGTACCGTGTAACAGTAGAACGAACGTGCCAATAAAGTCAACCTTGATCGCGACCCCTCGTGTGGACGGCAGTGTGGCGCGCGGTGTACCACGCTTTGACATTCACGGACCCCTGAGTGGCTTTGTCGTGTCTTTGTTTTCGTTTGCTAATGTTCGCCGCTTTCGTCCAGATGTGGCCTCCGAGATTGGTGGCGAAAATCTCACATAAAAAGTGTCGACCTCACCACTCATACCCTCTCCCGATCACCGACTACCCTCACTATGACGAAAACCGGTGCCGCGCCCAAGTGCCTCGCTTGCGTTGTTGACCCGCGCAAGGGCATCAACCAGCACCAATGGCTCGTGAACAAGATGGTGGCCGCTTGGAGGGACGCTGACCCGGACGCCGAGTACAAGGCTGTGGCCCAGGACGTCGCCATCGCCTTCGATCAAGAATTCGATCCCCAAATCCTCAAACCTGTGTACAAGAAAGGCAAATTTCAGGGTTACGAGACAGAAGAAGCGCGCGCAGAGCGGTGCAATGGAAGGCCGGGGGTGAGTCTCAACGTTCTCTATTCTATGCGACGCTCAGACGTCATCCACTAGAGCATTCTTCGGTGGGCTCAGAATCATAAGGACTGGATCGACGCGCAGAGGAACATGGCCCCTGCGCTACTTCGTTTCCAACCACAGCCTCCCGCGAAAGGCCGGCGGTCGCGCGCGTCGAGTGCGCGCGACTTATATGTTCGGGACCATCCTGGCATTGGCAAAGACGTTGTTGATGCTCAAGGCAAGCTTGCCCCAGGTGACCGAAGGACGGCGTTGAATGTGGCTATCTCCGCCATCATCGAGGAGGTTAAATTGACCCAGCCGGACGTATGGCAACGGTATGAAGAAGCCTCGGCAAGGGAGAAGGGTGCGCGTGCGTCTCGTGTGGCAGGCGCTGAGGAGAGTGAAGGGGACGAAGAAGGACAAGAGGATGAGGAGGAAGAGGCACCTATGGAGCATGAGTGAGTGCTGGTGTTCTCCCCAATGCGTTCCCTCGCTCACACTCTTCAGTCTTCTCGCTCGGCTGTGCCTGAGCATGCGCACCGCCATTGATTCATGGGTTGAACAAACTGGCGCCGAGATCTTTGTGTACATGGGAAAAGTGCGAGACGACGGAACGTCTAACCGCAGTTTGTAAGTATGCTACATTGTTGTCTGTTTGTTTGGGCTCACTAGCTCAGGATGAGTGCCGGAAAACGAGGGCGCGACCACCTTGCCCAGCGGGTCGTCGCCCAGCCCCTCATCAAGACGCTGGATGACTACGTGCTCGACACGGGTGGTCTCACACCCCGTGCGGCCAACCCATCCGCTCCTCGGCCAGCCACACAGGAGCGCGTTGTCGAGCCTCTTCCCGGTGCAGGCCCTGATACTACCGGGGACCCGGAACAGATTTCAGGCGGCCCTCAACCCGCGCGGAACGTTTCTCAAGCCTCACCAGATGTCCCTGTGTCATCGGAGAGAGTACTACGGGTGGAACACCCTGCAGACGGCAATGAGGTGGGTCGGCCTGTACTCAATAGTCACCCCCGAGATCCTCAGCCCGATCAGAGCTCAGGCAGAATCCTGCTCTCGCAGGACGTACCTCAACAACCGCAGGGCGTAGCTCCAGCCCTGCGCGTCGTCGCACAGCGACAGCGGGACGTCGCCGTGCCGTCGGACGAGGCAATCGTCCAGGTGGAAGAGCCCGCAGCTGGCAATGCCGACACCGAAGAGGCCATTCGTCATCCGCCCGACGGTCGCCTTGAGGCGCCACGGCCATCCGTAGAACATTCACCGGCTGAATGCGGTGTCGACGTTGAACAGGTCGATGACATCGCACGAGCTGCTGGCTCCGAGCCGCTGCCGCTGCAAGACGGGTCCAACGACGAACCAGCGATGGTCAACGAGCGACCTGAGCTAAGCCTCGATGTCGAACAACCCGACGGCGTCCGGCGAGCCGTGCTCGCCGAGTCGGAACCGCTCCAAGGCGGATTAAGTGACGAACCAGCGGCTGAGGACGACGGAAAGGTGAGTCATGTACTGCGTTCTTCGAACAGCACGGAGGCTGATTCTGTTCAAACCACCAGCGAATCGATCAGCAGGGTGAGAAGATGGCAGACGATCCCGTCCAGCCCGCGCAGGACGATGCGCACGTACCTGGATCCGCAACCCACTCGGACACTTCGCCTCCTAGTGACGACGAACCTCGAGCCCAGACCAAGGCTTCAAAGGGGGTCAGAAAGGGTGCGTCGCGTCGGGGACGAGGTCGCAAACCGAAATCAAGTGGGAGTCGTGCCACTCTTGTGGCCCCGGAAGACGAGCGCCGCCCGCCATCGCGTGGACAAAAGAGGCCAAGCCCCGAGGAAGCAGAAACACCGGAAGAGCCCTCGGGTCGTCCGAAGAGAGCGAAGTAAGTCCATTATAGGAAGACCTTCACTCGCTGACCTCGCATTGCAGGAAACAGGATTATGCGTCGCTTCATCGAAAGGGTAAGTAGGTTTTCTTGATGAATGACTTCGTAGCACTGTAGCCATGTAGCAAACGTGCGACATTGTGTCTAGTGTGTCTAGTGTACCAAGTTCAAGACTGTTATTAACTCGTTGCGACGTCGTTCAAGTCCGTTTGATGTCGTTGCGATGTCAGCCTGTAGTCCTGCTCCCGACGCTTTGACCCTCGATCCTCTTGCGCCACACCTTTGGCCGGTAGGTCCAAGCGAAGCACGCCACTGGATGACCTTCACCGGGCCAAGGCTCGCTTGGCTCTTTGTGGCTTCGTCGCAACGCCATTCATCTTGTCGCCAAGCGACTAATGGCAGATCGGGGAGGCGAACAATAGGGAGGCTAGGGGTATAAAAGGTGAGCACCGTTCACGCACACCCACACACTCTCCTCACTCTCGCCTCCATGTCCCACTTGCAAACCCCCCGGGGCCACAAAACCCGCTCGTCAATATCGCGAGCTCTTCTTAGTCCGGCCGGTGGCCTCGGCACGCCCCGCCATACTAAGACGACACCCAACGCTTACAACCGAAAGCTCAAGCTGTTCGCCGCGGAACTAGCACATCCGCAACTTGATTTTGACGTCTGCAACCACGGTCCATCGGTCCAACTCCAGTACTGTCGTGCAAATGACGTCAATGTCGGACGCCTCTTCACCACGGTGAGTAGCCTCACGAATGTGACCAAGGATATGTTTTTCTCAATGCAACTACAGTGTGCCACATCCGGTTGCCCCCTCCGCGGGTTCAGATACCTGAGTGGCCGTCTTAGCGACGCCGAACGAGACCTCATCGAGCGCATGCGGGTCAACGTCTCAGACTTACGAGATGTACACAAGCGTCGTAAGGCATTGACAGACCGGCGAGACTCGCATGATGCGGCGACGGTTGAAGACCTCGACGAACAGCTCCGACAGGTCGCCGATGAGGAAGCCCGCCTCGACAGAGACAGCACCGATCTGGTCCGACGTGCCACTCTCCTCCGCGAGCAGCGCGTCGTCCCAGCTCCCCAAGTAGCCAATGCGGCTCTAACTGCTGTGGCACGCCGTCCTGGAGCTGCCACCGCAACTCGTGACGTTGTGGCTGTGCGGCAACCACCCTCACACTCTCCCCATGCCGCCAGCTCCCCGCCCTCTCGACTCACTGCCTCCACCGACTCGGACGTGGAGATCGTCGATGGGCCTCTGCAAGCCCCTCGCAAAACCCCTCAGCGCCAGCGCAGGAGCAGTGCGTCGAGTCGTATTCGCGGCCCGCTCAGCCGCGAGCCAATCGAGCTAAACAGTCCATTGTTGCCCGGCCACCCAACATGAGATTCACTTATTGTTGCCCGGCCACCCGACGTCGGCCGACCGTGAGACTTTAGTGAGTATTCCCGAGTCGGCCGACGGCGAGGACGATTGAGTCAGCGCCCGCTCGGTCGATCACCTCGGAAGTAGATGACTGACACAATTCCATGCAGGGCGGCCGACGTCACAGACTCTGACAATGTTTACCTTGTCGGCCGACGTCAGACACCGACAATGTTATCGGCTCGGCCGACGTGTGACATGAGCATTCTGTTCGGGCCGGCCTACAATCGTAATACCAGAGCGCAATTCACGTTGCTGTCGATTGGTAGTTAGCACGTCGGCCGATCGTCAAACAGTCCACTGGAGCACAGACCGGCCGACACCATTGCCACCCGCTTGGCCGCCAACACAATCTGTCATCGAGTCCCAGTCGGCCGCTGTGTGCCTTGTCCGGTACTACCTGGTGGGTTGTCATTCAGACACGATCCGGTCAACATGGACGGCCATCATGCCACTGTATCATCATCTACACGTCGGCCGTCATGAGACTGCATCATCATGTACACGCCGGCCGGCATGAGATACTACGTTTGCACCACGTCGGCCGACGAGCCATCGGCTCGTTACGCCCGCCTCGGCCTGCTCTTTTCACGACCGTCCTGTCCGAGCCGGCCGAGGTTCTACCCTGCGCTAGATGTAGTGTCCATCATAACGTCTCTCTCACGGTTATCCGTGACAAACTGGCTGATCGGCTGACATGACAACAATGATTCCACTTGTAGGCTGCGACACACCGGCTCCCAATCCATTGCCCGCCCCCTTTTTCCGGAATTCCTCCAGTGATCCACATTCTCACTGGACCTCTCGAATCCGGCAGCTTCGTGGTCAAATTCCTGATGGCACCACATTCCACATGTATTTGATCGTAACTTCTAGCCAAAATGAAACTACAACATGTCTACAACATGTCCTACTCCTTGTCCGCCGTCCCGTAGTATTTCGCCATCTTTGCGAGAATCTCGCCACCCCGCCTGTTGGCCCGCTGCAGCTCGCGTAAAGCCTCCAATCGCGCACGGAGGACCGCGCCTTGCTGAATGTCGTGTTCCACCATTCGAGGCATGGGCGCGTCATAGCGGGGGCCCTTCACGAACTCGCCCTCAACTGAGGAGCGAAGTCAAATGCGAAGCATTTTAACAACATGAAAGATCTTACACTGAGATTCCTCGGTGGACGCCACGGTGGAGCGCCAAGGTCCAGGCACCCCTCGCACAAAAGGAGATCGGCCTTTGAACTCGTCGTTCATGCGGAAGCGAAGACCCGCTCCTGTACAAAATGTCATTGTTAGCTTCATGAGCGTAGACGAGGCACCAAAACGGGGACTACCATACGGCTCGGCGTCCGACTTCGGGCGCGATGGTCCCGGCACCCCTCGCGAGAACGGATTCGGGTTCGTAGACTCATCGTTGAAGCCGAAGAGAAAATCCTTTCCTGTAAATCAGATCATTGTTAGCATCATGAACATGGTCAGGGCATCTAACGAGGGACTACCATGCAGCTGGGCGTTCGACTTCGGGCGCGATGGTCCCGGCACCCCTCCCAAGAACGAATTTGGATTCGTAGACTTGTTGGGGACTTCGAATACAGGACGATTTCCTGTCAAACATGTCCTTGTCAGTTTTATGAACATAGACAGGTCATCAAACAAGGCACCACCATGCGGCTGACCGTCCGCTGTCAGACATCCGACATCGACCGCCCGACTTCGGACGCCCGACTTCGGATGCCCGACTTCGGACGCCCGAGGTCGGACGCCCGAGGTCGGACGCATAAAAAGGTCACCGTGACAACTCACCTTTCTTTCGTGCAATCGGCTTTGCGATGTCTGGCAGACCTCGCCAGTTCTGCCTATCCTCCGTTGCGGGTAGACCCCGTCGCTCTTCAACCAGTGACCTTTCCAGGCTGACAGGACTCCCGAGGACTGGTCGCAACGGGGTCGTTGGCGCCGTATCGTCGGCAATGATTGCGTTCGGCGTGGTCTTTGGAACCGCCATGGAGGGCCTGATGGGTGTTCCCGTCTCCAGATCGGAATCAGTCTCATCAGTGGATGAGACATCGATCGGCGTTGCACTCCGGTAAGGGGGAGACTCTGGACCCTCCAGCGAACTCCCATGCGGCGGCGGAGTCTGTATTGCCCGCCCAGCCAACACATTGACTGAACCGTCTTCCACGCCGTCGTCCACCTCAGATTCAGTATCGTCGCCGCTTGAGATCTCTATCGGCATAGGGGATTGGCGTCCGACGGCCATAATCGACGGTCCCTGCACTCCGCCCACACTTGAGCCACCAGCCGACAATCCCACTCCTTCCGCCAAGCCTACGGGTGCCGATGCGGTCTTGCTGCGTGATCGTCTCGGCGGGATAAACACAACGGTCTCCAAGCCGTCGTCATCAGACTCCACGTCCGACACCGGGAGCGGGCCGATAAGTCGGGTACCACTGACGGAAGTGGTGCTGCTTGCATGCGTCGTGGGTAAGTCGAACTGTCCGTCGGGTTCGGAGTCGCTGGAAATGGGAATGGGCGAAACCTTCCGGGCGCGGGTTCGAATCGTCTGTGCCCGGCGGTTCGCCGGGGGCTGGGGCATCACAAACTGTCGAGGAGGAGTCAACGGCACAGCCCGTTCATCCTCAGAGATCACCATAGCATCCTTCCCGGACCCCGTATCCACCCCGGTTGTTTCTGGTATACCATCCGGGGTTGTGTCCTGTACCTAGCTGTCAGCCCCGAGTAATTATGTCTAGTGGGTCCTGCTCACCATGGCGTCCGCATCGCGCTTGGGCTCAATCGTCCTGGCTCTAGTGGGTATGACAAACGGCACTAGAATACATATTACAAGTCAGTATTTGCTCCACAACCTGCACCAATGACCATGCGACGCACCTATCACATCATCCCCATCGCTGTCGTCCTGAATAGGTTCGCCCGATGAGTGTGCCGTGCCTAAGCTATAGGCAAGAAAACTCACCGAATCCGTGACGTCCGGGTCCTGGAGCTGTTCCGCCGGGCGAGCACACTGCTCCGCATCGCCCGAGTGCCCATCCGCTGGCACGGGTGAACCATACGATCCTGCGCACCGAGCCGTTAGTGGCAGCTCGCATGTGCATGTAGCACTGGTACATACCGTCTCTTTTCTTCATTCTTGCGATCACCGAGGTCGACATGGTGGTGGTAATTGATAGACCTTGGTTCAGATCTCATCAGTGAGATCGATCGGATGGCCCGCGGCGCGGCTCAGCCACAGACCACGTGTTTGTGGCTGCGTTCCCACCGTCGGCTGCTGGCGCTCGGCGCTTACGCGTGGCTCTTGAACTTCATCTGCATCTCCCGCTCTTCTCTCTGTCCTCGCCGCTGAATCGCTTTCCCTCACCGCTTGTTTATCATGGCGTCAACAAGCATCCCTGGTCCTACCGAGGACGGCCCGAAGATGGTGACGGAAGCCCAGTTCAAAGGCCTGATGACCTTCTGGGAGGGCAAAATCGCGGGAGTGGTGCAAAGATGGCGGAGTACGGCACCGGCCGAAACAAAGGAAATCAAGAAATTAGTGAGTGTCTGTCTGTTCAACCATAGCGCCAATGCTCACCTTCGGGTCTTGCAACAGTGGAAGAAGCTTCACAAATGGGTGGTGAGTTTGTCGTGTGATTCATGGTGTCCGCGTGTTCTCACAGGTCGGCCAGACCGAGGCGAGCTCTGCCGCGGTCATCGCGGACGGTAACCAGTGGGAGGTGTACGTGCCGCCGTTGGTGATATCCGCCATGGAGGAAATGGCAGCTCCGGCGGATATTGACCTGTATCGACGGTTTGCCCGAATCAAGCAGAACGACCCAAGAATAGCGGCAAACGATTGGTTTACGGGGTCCCACGAGCTTCCTCCCGATGACAGCGAGCCGTCGCTTGTCCCGCCCATTCCCGCCGCTCCCCGCCCGCACCCGGGTGTCGCTTTCGCCCTCCCGCAGCACGATGGCGACGACATGGAGGTCGATGAGTCGGGCGAGCCGGAAATCAGCCCAAGGCCCACCTTGCCCCTCCCTCGTCCCCACACCAAGCCCGCGAAGACGGCGGCAAACCCGTCCAAACCCGCCATCCACGGTGCCGGTGCGGCGAAGATCACCAAGACGAGGGTGTCGATCAAAGGGAAGGGCAAGGAGCGGGCCATCACCATTGACTCCGATGCGGACGACGACCGGGAGCCTCAGCAGGTGGTCCCGAAGGCGAAAAAGGCCCCGAACAGCAAACCGCAGCCAAAGAGGCGGGTGGTCAGTGTCCCCGAGGTGGAAGTTGACAACGAGCCGGAACCAGCCTTGCCGAAGAAGCACACGATGGCCGCCACCAACGCGAAGGGAAAGAAGCGAGCGGTCAGTATTGCCGAAGAGGAAGAGGACGACGAGCCCGAACCGGCTGTGCCGAAGAAGACGACGATGGCGGCCAGCAAAGGGAAAGGAAAACAGCGAGCTGAGAGTGCGGTCGCGGAAGATCAAGGCGAACAGGCCCCACAGAGTAAGTCGCAAGTCCCCTATGTCTAACGTTCATCATTAAGATGTTCGGCAGGTGGTGTCAAGGTTCGGCCCATCCTCAAGAAGGCAGTGTCGGAGATACCGTCCGAATCCGAGCCGGATGTGACTCCAGGCATGGACCTCGAGGACCGCATCGAAAGCGCCCTCGAAGTCGACGATTACCGCACCCTCGTGAAGATTTGCAAAGCCGAGCGCGCCCGGTTGAAATTGGCGGCGTTTGATTGGGCGGGCTCGAAAACCAAACGTCGCGAGAATTGGATTCGCGTGATGGTAGGTAATGTATCTCTGTTATCAGCCCACTCCTCTCAATGTGTTTGCAGGACACGAAGTGCCAGCGGTGCCATTCAATGCACTGCTGGATATCGAGTGACCCCAGGAAGGCGGCTACGACTTGCGACGAGTGCTTCCGGAAGCATAAGCCCTGTGTCGCCTTCGACGCGGACGTCCCAGATGAGACGGAGGACGGGAAGTCCCGCTCACGATCACGCACTCCGTCGGCGGTGAAGGCGAACCCTCGGAAGCGAGCCCGATCTGTGTCCGTGGCGTCAGTGGCGACGGTGCCCCCCGACACTGACCCTGATGGCGGGGCGGACTCCGACACAGCGTCCGTCGCAAGCACGTCTTCCCGAAGAAGCACGCGCATAACCCGCCGCCCGTCAAAGCGGCCCCGCATCGTGTCCGAGCCCGTGAAGCAGACGCGCGGAAGGTCGAAGAGCAAGCAGAGGGAGGTAACAGTAGAATTCGACCAGGCTGATCTTCCGAGCAGGAGGTCCCCGAGTCATTCCGCTGGACCATCAAACAGTGGAACCCAAGGGGAGCGACCGCGGGTAGTGCCGGCCTACATCGGTGTACCTCCAAATCGTGAGTCCCTTGCATTTGATGCTTTTGATCTCGGCTGACAACGCCTAGGATTTGGGTCCGGGAGTTCGTTGGAGCAACATGAGGAATTTGTGGTGCTGGAATCGTCGAGTGCCATCTCGCGGGAGCTCCACAACTTGCGACAGGAGAACGTTGAGCTCCGACACAAGTACGATGAGCTCCGGCGTGACTTCGACGACTTGTGCGCACACCTCGGTGTCGGTGGTAGGTGTTCCCCGATCACCAGTAGCGACTAACTCACCATTCTGTTCCAGACTGGGTCCGAGGGGACCGTATGTCGGATGGTGTTGGGGGCCCATCTAGCGCGTCCGGATCTGGTAGCCATCAGGATCCCCAGCGGGTCGAGGCGAGGTTTGATCCCGCGCCATTGCCGGGCGTGCCGTCAATCCGCACCACCATCGACAATGACGTCGACATGGACGAGGAGCCGTTGGCTCCCGAGGCCATCAGGCTCTCCATGCAACCCGACGACGCCGTGGCCGAGGAGCTCGACATAGGTGTGGAGGAGGAGCCGAAGATGGCCGGTCCTTCTGGTAGCAGTCCGCCGGCGATCAACAACGACGCCCATATGGATGAGGTCCAGCCCGGTCCCGGCGCCATCACCCTATCCGGCCAGACGAACGAGGCCGAGGCGGACGGTGTCGACATGCGGTCGGCGGAGGCATCAAAGATGGGAGAGGGTTCTCCGAACAGTCCCTCGCGGGGTTTGACCCCGTATGTAGTGATGGCCACTCCCCCGGGCACTGGCCCCGAGAGCCCCAAGGTCTCCGGCGCGACCACAAAGTCGCCGGGCCTGGCGGAGGCCAACGAGGATCGGACGGATGAGGTCCTCAAAGAAGATCAATCGTGCCCGGGAGCGGGATCGGAGGTGGTTAATCCGTCCATGGCAATAGACGGTGTCAGCAACAGTCCACCCCGGAACCGTCCGAGGCACCTCCCCCGCTTCCCGCTGGGCCCGGCGACGTCTCGGGCTGCACACCGAGTCGCGAAACCAGTGTAGAAGATGGGGCACGAGCTTATCCTGATCCGACGACGAACAGCTCGCAAAGAACTGTGCCCGAATCGACACAAGAATCCATCCCCGCATCGCCTGATGCTCCGGCCACAATTGACGACACATCAGGTTCAATGCATGTAACGTCCGCAACCTTAGGTGCCAAGCCTGCCGAGGCGTCGGATGCGGTGAGTTGTTCTCATGTGGATGTCGCCACAGGCACTGACGACGGATTGCAGGCGGATGCATCGCCTGAACATGGCGACACCGACGGGGCATCGCATTCAATGTGTTTGCCACAGAATCCAAACCCTCAGGTCAACGTCAACAGCGTCGCACAGCTGAACACACGGGAGGAAGGTAGCGGTGGGGAAATACCATCGCCGGTCGGCCCCGCGGAAGAATCGGATGCCAACGCGCCTCAGCGTCGTGAGTCGCCGCCGCTCCCCAGGTGGACAACATTGGACGACGACGGTGTGGAATTGGGGAGTGAAAAGATAGGCGAGGACGATGTGCATCCAGCGGGTACGGGCGCCGAGCATTTGTAGACTTACGATTGTAAAGTAGCATGTCATTTTGATGAGAATAATGACAGACAGGTTTATACGAGTGGGGTATGGAAGACATTCATGTAAGATGGCCGAGTGTAGGCTGCCCAGCTATTAACAATGACTGCCCGAGCTCCGACGCCCGAGGTCGGACGCCCGAGGTCGGACGCCCGAGGTCGGACGCCCGCTGTCGGACGCCCGAGGTCGGACGCCCGCTGTCGGACGCCCGATAGATCGTGCTGACTGGCTGGTGGCATATTGTATGACTTAATGTTGATATGGAAATCCAATCTGATTGGTCAGATTCATCGGACGATCAAGGCACGGATGTGCTAGATCTGACCACGTGAGACTGGTTGCTTTCCTACCCAAGCTATTTGTAATACATGCGGCTCTTGTCCGCAACTCCATTCCACTCATTGAAGACACATTCCACCTCCGCTCCGTCAATTTCTGCCACATCTGTACCATGACATCAAAAACCTCTCCCTCATTGAACCATGCTGGTCGCCCTCAAGCTGCTGACCCACTGGACGGGTTTGAAGGTGCCATGGAAGTCAATGGTGTGCTTTATATTTATGGCACCCAAATCGAGAAGAGGGTAAGGGAATCCAAAGATCCCCGTTTTCAGGATGGCAATACAATTCGGCAGCTTGTAAGACACTGCTTAGTTTATTGAGACATGCATTGATATGTCGTTTTTGACTTTCAGTGGAAGGCCGTGGAATCTCTCACTGTAATTTTCAATTTTTTCACACCAGTTCCAATTGCTGATAGTGACTCCAGTTCAACATCGCGGATATCTTGCGATCGGCGACCGATAGGAATTGGTTGGTGTATGTGCCTCCCATTGCCATTTCCGCCATGGAAGAACTTGCGAGCAATGTGTCGGGCGATTACAAGAGACGGATGGACCGCATTACAGTGGATGACCCAAGGGTGTTCGGAAGCGGATGGTATTGTGCGACCCCGCCGCCGGGCATGTCCCACATGGCCCCGGTCACCGATATGGCTGCGCCCTCTGCGTCTTCAGAGCCGGGTGCGGCCCTCAAGGTGCCCCCGACCATGGGTCATGCTCTTAGCGGAGCACGGCAATCCGCGACGGCCTCAGGGCCTGCCCATGGAGTTTCCTTCGTGCTCCCTCACATCGGCCTTGTTGCAATGGACGAAAATCAATCTAAGGAACTTGATGTTCCCCCGACACCTGGGTCATTGGGGCGGAATGGGCAGGGTGCGTCAATGACACCACACTGGGAGTACCTGCAGGAATCGGAGAATGACGCGGACCATGATGTGAGTAATTGGAACAATGGATCGGTCGATGATATTAACTGGGGAACAGCAGGCGGACAGCATCGATACCAGCGAGGAAGTGGACGAATTGGAGGAGCTCGTGATTCCGAAGGCTGGGAAGGCAAAGGGTCGGCGTCGGGCGGAGGCCTGCAATCCCATTGATGACGATAATGAGTTGCATGGCCCTCGTGTTCCGAGCGAGCGTGTTGCGAAGGGTCAGCAGGCGAAAGGAAAGCAGCGGGTTCAGGCTTCGATGGCGAGCTCCTCAGGCCCTAACAATGCAAAGCGCAGATGGGTGCCTGCCTACATTGGAGCGCTCCGCCGAGTAGGTCACCTCGGGTATAGTCAATTGCCGATCGACTCATTTGAATGGGTTCACAGGGCATGGTCTTCGGCCTGAGTATGAAAGTGTACAGGGAGTCGAGCTGTTCGAACCGCGGCCGATGTCTACCGAAGTGCATGACCTTCGGCAGGAGAACACAAAGCTTCATGCTATGCACGACAAGCTTCGTCTCGATTTGGGGGCACTGCGACAGCGTCTCATGACAGGGAGGCAGTCGGATGGATGCCGTGAACATGGTACGATAGTTAATGGGTCAACATTTCGCGATTGTTTGTCCATGTACGGGTGCGGACTAATGTCAATGATTGTTTGCCGAAGCTTGATACATGATGATTACACTTAATGACATCGCCTCTTCTTGCTCAATCCTCATCCCTTGCCCAGGTCCGGCATGGGGTGTCCGACATCGGGCGTCCGAAAGCGGGCTCCGATATCACATTGCCGCCCGCCGGTGTACACGATCGCTTTCGTGCCATATGACGGATACAGAGTTGTCATACATGATTCGACTTTCTGGCCATTTGAACTGCATGTATACAGGCCAGTGAGTTCAACGTACACAAAGGCTGTGAAAAATCCTACACATGCAAGCAGGCTTGATTATTCATTGTCACATGTCATCTAAGCTACGGAACTCTGTGTAGTCATGGGCAAAATACTCCGTATCTTCCATGACAGGGTGCTCAGCCTCCCTTGCATACCAGTCGTCTAGGTTGCGCTCATTCGCCGCCAACGCCGAATCCCAGAACCGAATCTCCGCCGAGATGTACTCCTCCATGTATTCGAAGTTCGCCTGTAGTGCGGTGACACACTCACGGAGAAACTCGATCTCCTCCTCTGCTGTCAAACTTTGTGCATCGTGCCGCCCTCCCCTCGCTGCCCGTAGCCTGGGGGACTCTGTGGAACATGCATTACGAGGGACGGGA